AGATTTCTGCTCTGGAGCCAATAACACATCTATGAAAGGATTGAACAAAGCGCTTATTTTATCCGCTTTAAACCAATTCCGGGTTTATGAAATAGTTTTAAACTTAAATGTGATTTGAGGAGATTATGGATAAAGCTTTCACTGCACGCTCTTATTTGCATTGTTAAGCTGTGGGCACTATTCTTTACAAATGTTGTTGTATGAACGGCTATCATTATCTACTCAAGAAGCACATTGTATTATAGAAGCAATGTACAGCCGTTGCTGAAAAGCAAGTAGGAGTGAAGCTGTGTTGCTGTTTTCGAGGAAGGTACCCCAGTAGGTAAGGGGCACCATCTGATTACTGCACACCAACTCTGTCTGATGTTTTAAGCACTTTTTAAACAAACAAATGTATTTTACTCCTGCCCAACTGACCACATCATCCTTCTTATGGCATGGGCAGTGTTATATTGGTGTTAGCTGACTTAGTCATTTATTTACACATGGTGCGTGGGCTGCAGATTTAGGTAGATTTAGATTTTGGAAGAACTCAGGATGGAGATGGCTTGCCACCTAAGCTATGTTACATGACCTGCACCGTCCCAAAAAACACACTCATCAGAGGCACACAAGCTCAAGCTCCAGCTCCATGACCTGTGATCAGAATTAGGAAATGTTTTGCTGGAGCAAATTTTAAACAAGAAGAAGGCAGAAAGGTGGCCAAAAAGAGCCAGCAGCTAGGTCTGCAACTGGTGGCAGGCATGAAAGACCACAAACGCACACTATATCAACACCCACTCTGACCACTGTGCCTTGGCCTCTTATTCTAATAAAGCTCAAAGTACACCTGAGGAGCAATACCTCATCTTACACTAAGGCATGTTACAGTCTTCTGGACTTGTCACAATCCCTGATGAGAAGACTGCTGAAGTTCAAGCCTCACTATTTTCTGAGTCACCCCATATCTGAAATATGACCTGGTTTGATGTGTAGGATGCTTAATTTAACTGACTGTACTGTCACAAATTCTGAGTAGAGACAAGGCGTTTTACCGTAGCTTTCGTAGGGAGCAGCTGTATCTGTACCACCTCCCTAAGGCCCTCATAATTATAGTGTTTGACCAAATGCAATAAACCTTGCAAATGCAAAGAACAGTGTAACATTTGTTGATAACTTGATGGCAGTGTATTCTCAACGACTAATCATTAGATAGACCCAAGACAAAGCAAAGATAAAGAAGGATTGGTGGCAGGAAGCTACCTCAAAATACACTTATCTAGTACACTATGTACTGGTATAGGTGCAAAATGCTAGAACACACGAGAAATGGGCATTGGGAGAATACTAGAGGCAACAGGATCCAAAGACAATCTGTGCTGTGTTCTGAGCATGCAGCCATTTGAAGATCTAGGCCATTAACTCTGTTTACTTATTTCCACAGATACTGTCTTACCTCCTGAATAGCTCCAGTGCTTTCTGCTTTTATTATAGTCAATTTTAATAGATTGCAATAGAGTTTGATTGAAGTTCAAACTGTGATTCATTTGAAAATAAGCCAGTGGCTTCTTCAGAAACACCGGGAATAAGCAGATGTGCCGTACCCTTGTCTTCCACTTTCTGCCTGTTGAAGGCAGCCGTAAACAATGATGAAACGGAGAGTGTGTTCCTGTTTCTGCGAAAGCTGCTATCATATTTAAACTAGCAATTGCCCCAGTTCATAAATTTATCATCAAGATTATTTTTGTTGATTTGTTTATGGGGTATGGGCATTGCTGGCTTGGATTTGTTGCCCATGTATCTGCTGCCCTTCTCCTTCTATGTTAAAGAAGTTGTGGGTTTAGAAGGTGGTGTCAAAAGGTACTGCAAGTTGTTTCAGTACATTTTGTTGATGGTAGACATTATTAGCACTGTGCTTTGCTGGTGAAGAGTAAATGTTGAAGGTGGTGGATGGGTGTCAATCAAGTGGGCTGCTTTGTACTGGATGATGGTGTTAATCTTCTTGAGTCTTGTCGGAGCTGCACTCATTCAAGAGAGTACTGCAATACACTGCTGACATGTGCCTTGTAGATGGTGGACAGGCTTTGGTAGGGGGTGTGGGGTTGGGGTAAGGGTGGGGAGAGACAGTGTGTGGTGCAGGTGCAGGATGTCAGTTACAGAATTCCCAGCCTATGACTTGCTTTTGTAGTTATTATGTGGCTAGTCCAATTTAGTCTCTGATCTATGGCAATCTCCAGAATATTAATGCAACTCATAATATCATTGAAAGTGCTGTGATAGATTAATTTGATATTTGACCAGATTGTTCTCAGGCTTCCTGCACTAACTATAGGTGGTAAATAAAATATACTCACCCTTCTGCAAAGCCTTTTTGGTGATCTGAAATGTGTATCTAGTTTCTGATGCCAATTGTTGTCGGGAAGGACTCTGTAATAGTCAGTCCTAGCCACACTGTCATGACAAATGTATCAATGAGAGGGCAGCAGTTTTGGATGACTTCATTTCCAGAAAGTACAAGGTGGGACCTCGGTTAGGAGAGCATATGAATTGTTGAGGTTGCACATAAAAGGGTTATCGATGAGTGTTTAATCACTAAATGAACTGAACCGAAGATGGGCAATGTTATTGGAGGTGGATGTTCTTACCCATGGAGGTAATGAAGATATATTGTTCAAATATTAAATCTGAGTCAAATAAGATGCCATGGCTGATGGTAGTCTAGTTATCCTCAGAAAATGGCTCAGGAGGAGGATGGAATCATTGCTTGGAATGAAAGGAAAACAAATGCATTTGCCTAGCATCCTTGCTGTCCAGATGATGTCCCAAAATGCTTTACAATAAATGATGTAGTTTTGATTTGTAATCACTATTTTAATGTAGGGATCAGAGTTTGTGATAGAGACGAAAGACCCTTGTCTTTCCCAATATTTAAGTGGAGGATGTTTCTGCACAAGTAGCACTGCAAGCGATGAGGTAGAGGTGGATGTTGTTAGTGTAAATGTGGAAGCTGACATTCTCTTTTTGAATGCTGCTGCTGAGGGGATGAGAAATGGATGAGAAATAGGAGGGGACCAACATAACTTATTAGTGGACTCCAGATATAACCTACTGAATGGAAAACAGGTGGGTTCAGGTTAATAGAGAGTCAAATTAGGCCGGCTATAACATGGATGTCTAAGCTCGTGTTGCCTTCTTCTAAAATGATGAAATACAATTATTTTCTTCACCATTCCGTTCCTCACTATGTTTAATTGATACCGCATGTCCATGTTAATATGCTGACCATGCACAGGGAAAAAACTTGGGGTTTTTCTGGTACTAGTTGCTGTGTTTATCCTGTATACCTGTTGACAGAGAGTTGACATTTGCTGCCTTTTTGTTTCCTTCCATTAACTGGGAAGGAAGTTTTACTGGTCAGGTAGAATAACTTTCAAATTTCCATGTTGGTAGGATTAATTAATAAATGCTTATTTAAAACAGTTATTGATGTAATAAATTTTACATCTCGTGTATAAACAAAGTTTGTAGATTGTACTCTGGTAGCTCCAAGTATTGTAATGGTAGTGCACAGTAAAAACATGAGCAGTAAAGGATAGGGGGAATTAAGAAAGTAACTTCAGCCCTGTCAAGTGAGAAAGACAACTTTAGGTCAGATGCCTATTTTACACCCCTCTCAAGTTGACGCTGCATTAAACTGAATTCTGGTTATATGGTACTGCATCATTAATGGGTCAGATTCTAATTTTAACAGTAAAAATTCAGTACTCTTTATCCCTTTAGTGAAGAGAAACTAGAATTTGTCCCTGGTATATACAGATTGGTCTATTTTGTCTGTCATTTCTTGACAATCTTACAAAAATGATAATGTAGCCCTATGTACAGACTAGTTAAATGATCTTTTGTTATTCTAAGTCTGCTGTAAGGATTGTTCTGGCACATAATTTCCCATGAAGAAAGGCCAGAAACTGCCATGGTGATGGTAATCTAGTAGGGAAAATGCTGTGACCAAGTTATCCGTCCTTAATAGAGCTTTATTCAGAAATCCTATTCTTCATGCTACAATTATAATACCGCAGTTTCCGGAGTGCTGAAAGAAGTTAAATCAAACATCCATTCGTAAAGTGTTGGTCATAGGTCCTTAAACGTAACCCTCAATGCTGATAATCATTGTTCTTTAGTCTTTGCTGTCACCATGGAACTTTTAGTAATGTAAGCAGTCACACATGTCTCTCTCAGTCTCTGCTCTCCGAAAAGCATGAAAATGTATTTTAAATCTTTAATCGTACTTTCAGATGTTTGGGCCAGCTTTTGTATGTTTGGGGACAAGAAAAGAATCTTTGAGTTTCTCTTTGTGTGGCATTTTTATAAGGATGTCTTTGTATAACTGTTATAGTTGATGTTATAATTTTGAATATCAGAGCAACCTTACTGAAGCAGTTTAAATGTCTGAATAGGAAACAAGCTTTTTCAAGCATGTTGTGCCATTTAAAGCTGCACAAATAAGTTTTATAGCTGTGGTAAATAGGAAAGATGTGTAATTTGATCAACACTAAAATACTATTCATAATCCACTGTACTTTTTTGAGTTTCTATAATAGGAAAGTTGAGAAGAAAATATTTGTGATGTTTTAGTTTAAGTTGGATAATATAACTGAATTTAAACCCATAAAGTGCTGGAGAAACCCAGTAGGTTTGGCAGCATCAGGGGAAAGAGAAACAGAATTTTGAATCCAATCTGACTGCTTTTCAGAACCCAAACAAATTTAACACATTTGAGGTTGATACAGTTTTAATACATTATGTATGATTATCGAAATTGTATAACATTTTCAGAATAAATCAGCAACGGGTTGGAAAGTACTTAAAATTATGTATTTGAAAAAATGAGTTCAATAGACAAAAATTTTGTGAAAGTCCAGTTAAGAAAGAAATAATTGAATAGCAATTTGCTGAAATGCATAATATGAATTGTCCTATATGTGAAGCGCTCAATCTAACTGATTTCTCTTCTCTTTTATTAGACTCCTGGCAGGATAGATAATACTGGAGAAAGCAGTAACCATCTGCCCCAGATGTTGTAAAGCATATCATTTATTTGGCAATGATCATTCAGAAGTGCTGGAAACAAGATGTTCTTTCAAAGCTGAGAATCATGCTAACTACAATTGATGAAGAGCACACAGAGAGTCAAAACATCAGAACAGACTGGGCAGAATGATTCCCACTACCTTTTACACTGCATTTGAGTTGGAAGAAAAACACCAGAATGCGACTGAACCAAGAACAGTGCTTTTTAACCAAATGGGAAGTGAAAATCTCCTTTAACGAGGAACCTTGACAGCCATGCTCTGAGTTTTGAACTTCTATCATTTTAACTTGTAAGGAAAATATTGAATGATAACAATGCCATCAAGGGGAAAATACTTTATTAGTGAAAATGAAGCTCGTAGAAGTACTGACTCACTGTATGAGACTTATTGCTGTATGAGCCAGCAATTTCCACTTGTTGTCCTCTTCTTAGTGATAATCATTGGGGCTTGTATAGCTCTGATTGCTCTTTTGTTTTCCATTGACCTGGTAAGTGTTACTCTAAATATCTTGCCAATTTATACTTTATGAATTGTTAATATTATTTGTAAATAAAGGATGCTACTTTCCAATGTTATTTTTCTGCGTAAATAAGGTTTATATTTTAGATCAGAAAACATGTAGAGACAATCGATTATAACACATTGACTAAATGCATTTTAAACTGTAGTATTTTGAAGTTTTTTTGAATTATGTTGTCCAATTATTGTCTCCTTTTGAAGAAAATACTTGGAACAAATTTTGACATTATAGCCTCCTCACATTTGCCAGGCACACTGGAACACTTCAGCTCCATATAGCCGTGCTGTATCTGGAATTGTGCGTCTCAGCATTCTTTCAACATTACTGGGTCAAAATCCTGAAACTCCCTTCCTTCCTAACAGCACAACAATAGTACTTTAACCAACAATGAGAACTTGTACTTCTACAGTGCTTTAACAAAATGTCCCATCTGCCTGACAGCCATATACCAAACAAAATAGGACACCAAGACACGATGCAAATTAGTTCAAATGGTGGAGGTAGGTTTTAAGGAGTGTCATGAAGGGGAGGAGAGAGAGAGATAGGATGGAATTCCAGAGCTTTAGACCAAAGCAGCTGAAGCACAGTCACCAGTGGTAGAGAAATTGAAGTCAGGAATGTTCAAGTTTCCAGAACTGGATGAGTGTGGATATTTCGGAAGGTTTTAGTGCTGGAGCAGATTACAGAGTTGCGGCCAGAAGAAATGAGCAAGGATATGGAGGAATTTGAACCAAGGATAAAAATTTTGAAATCAAACCTTTGCTTGACCACAAGACAGTGCCCAGCTGAGATAGGGGAATGTGCAAGCTAAGACCCATGTTGTAGTGTTTTGGATGATCTCAAAGTTTATGGAAGGTAGAATGGGGGAATGTTTTGCCTGGATTGTATTGGAATGGTCAAGCCTAGGGTAATGAAGGCAAGAATAAGGGCTTCAACAGCAGATACGCTGAGATAAGGATGTAGGTAGACGGTTTTACAGAGGTCAAAACAGGCAATCATGATGAGGTACAAATGTGGAATTTTTGTCTTGTGGTCAAATATGTTACCAAGGTTTCAAATAGTCTGATTCGTTAAAGCCTTTGGCCAGGCAGAGGGATGGTATCTACGGAACAAACTTTGGAATGGGAGCTGAAAACAACAACTTAATTTTTCACAGCATTTATTTGAAGAAATTTCTGCTCATCTAGATGTCAAGTTTCTCTGTCTAATCATTTAGTGATAGTGGGAGTGGTAGGGAGGCAGTGATGAGATAAAACTGGGTGGCGTCAGTAGACTTCTGAAAAATTCTGTGCTTTTGATTAGAGTTACTAAGCAGCAGCATGTAGATGAGAAGGTCAAAGGTAGATTCCTTAGGGGAGGTGGGAGGGGGAGCCCTGAGGTAATGGTGCAGGACTGGTAAGTGAAGCAAGTACAAGTGTCATTCTGTATGGTGATTTAAATTATTAAGAATGGGACCAGGCAGTCAACTGTGCCAAAAGCTGCAGACAGATTGAGAATGATGGAGGGGGTGGGATGTGGTGGAGGGATGGAGTGGGGTAGGGTGGGTACTGCTGTTGGTTTACCGCTTGAATTACCATGGTGCAAAATCAAAGATTCCCTTTACATTGGAAAGTTGGAATAGGTTACAGATATTGACTTTCTTGAGAATGAATATATTCATTCTAATCACGCTTTCATTTGGTAAGTCAGTCACATTGGTTAAAAGAGAGAAATCTCTAGTTGGAATTATGACCCCTAATTGGGTTTATAAATTTCCAAATTCTCACTGCTAACCTTTTGTTCATGTTAGACAGAAGCTGGTGCCACACCATCTGATGTTCTGGTCACCAAGGTGTTGTATTTCTAAATTGTCATACCACGAAAGCCTCATTAATGTTTATCATACCAAAAAAATCATAATTAACTGCTTATGAAGAAGAATAAATATTCAGCATAATATTGCCCAATTAGTTAATTTCAAAGCAACTAATCATAAACCTGTAAATACCATCAAACGTCTATCAAATTAGTCAAATGTTTCCTTCATAATTTTTGGGGGACACCATTTTCATTTCCCTCTTTGGTGATGGGAATAAATTAACATAACACAAAGACTTTGAAATGAATTAATGTTTTTGGATGGTGTGGGCAATAAACTCATTAAATATGATCAGAAAATAGGTCATTTGATGTAAGATGTTCTTTCACTTAGTGTTTCTGTTTCTATTCTGGAATATTAACTTGGGAACGTCATCTAATTTTTGGATGGTGGGTATCCCCAGCTGATCTAGATCAGCTTTTCAATCCGTGGATGGAATGCATGTCATGGGAGTTAGTTACACTACATGCCCTCCTTATGGATCCATAGCAGTCAAGATTTCACATGAAACCAGAGAGAACATTTACAATTAACTGAGATATAAACAGTGGAGAGAAACCTCCACAATTTCAGTTTAATTCATGATCCAAAAGCTGAGTTAACCACATTGATGGACATGTGTGAAAAGTGAGAGATTGGTGTTTATTTTGAAGCAAGAATTCGATGTTCAAGGCACTTTGGTACCAAGCTCACACTGAGCTTTGATACTGAGCCACAATTAATCAGGTGGTCCTGTCCGTGCACTGACCATCCATTGGAGAAATAATCATCGAAGGCATAGCAGCGAGGCAACCTTTATGAACATTGTTTAGAAAGAAGAATATTTTGAGACGGGAAGGAAGATGAAGATACAACTGAATAACGTATCCTGCAAATTTCGCAAATCCACTGTGGAAAGTAGAGCAAAAATCATTGTACAAGCTTGGGGAAAATTGATTTTGGGGAAGGGCTTAAATAAAGCAATTTGTAGTTTTAATGTTTGATAGTTCTGCAAGTCAGTATCTCTGTGAATCCACTTAAACAAGTTAAAAGAACAGGGCTAAAAAAAAAACAGGGCGGGATTTCTGGAAGTTATGTTTAGCAAATTAAGCATTGAGGAGTTTTCTTTTACATTGAGATTTATGATTTAGAATGCAATGCCTGAAAGGGCATTGTAAGACAATTCAATTTTCAGAAGAGATTTGGGTTAAGTATCTGTAAAGGAGAAATGTGCAGAGTTACAGGGAAAGATAGGGGAATGGGACTGATTAGCTCTTTCAAAGAGTCAACACAGGCAAATGGGCTGAATGGTGGCCCTCCATGCCATACAATTTTATGATTTTAAGTATTCTTACTGGTGTGCCCATGCGGTAATTTCAAGGTGAGTTTGGATCAGTTTCTAACAAACGTATTTGATAAAGGGTCTTGCAAGGTAAGACTGCCAGCTAGCCCTCCTGCTCTAAAATTATGATCTAGTACAAGTCTATTTTAATATTAATAAAACAAATTATGATTAGAATGCAAGCTGAGATACAATAATCCCTGTAAAAGTATAATTTAATGATATTTTACCTTAAAGCAAGAGAGTGTCCGATCAACTTTGCAATCAATGATTCACTCAGAAAAATCATATCCTTAAAAAAAACTGTTTCGGAATCATGCTTTCAACGATTTTACTAAGTGCTTAATTAAAGACAAAAGGAGGCATTTACCCATTTCTTATTAAAAAGAATTTGGAGGCCTGTCTTTGTTAACGTGTGCACAACACAACTTGGCTATTGTGTACATATATTGTGTACATTTTTTTTAGAAAATCATGTTATTTTTCAAATAATGACCAACTGGAGATTTAAGTTGTAAATTGGAGTGTGATTAATGAGTAAAATTCTGAACATTGAAAATCTTTCTCTTTAAAAATTAATTTGGACCTGGTTGTACTCGGTATGCTTTTATTGAACATAGGTCTAGAAAAAATTTTGGTATTTGCATTAGTTAAAGTACATGCATTTTGATGTGGTACCATAACAGTTACTGTTGTCAAGCCTTTCATGTGATTGTGGTAATGTATAACTTTATATAGAATGACAATGCTTCACAAATGGAAATCAAGTCATATATAATTCATATTAATTATGCATTTTTCTTTCAAACAGGATGTTCAGATGCACCTTCTCTTTTTTATTACATTATGCACTGCTTTGGGCATATTTATAGTGATTTTTGTGCTTGTCTGCATTGAGTCGTTATTTCAAAGATGGATGAAGATATTTGCATTAGTCATTTGGGTTTGTCTTCTTACAATGGGGTACGTTTTCATCTTTGCTGGTGGTGCTATCTCTGCTTGGGACCAGGTAAGCTCATTTCAATTTTTAACCCTTTGTTATGGTGCTATTTGTTTTGAATTAAATTCTTTGGTGTTGAATTTCTGCATGGATTCTTCTGCTGTAATTTTAGCAGAAAATTGCTTTATTCCTGTGGTTTTTTTACCAAAATTCCCAAGGGAGCTTAAGAGACCCCTTGTATAAGTTACACCTTGTATATCTCTTAAGCGATCACTTTTACAGGTTTGTCAACTGGCAATTTTATTAAAATTGCGATTAAGCCACTATGAAATTAGCTTCTCATTTTTCAACCCTTGTGGTATCAATTTCTCTTAATTAGTAACCATTGAAAAATGTAATGAAATTATGTTCAGTACTTGATATGGAGCCCTTGATTTAAGTTAAACTATACTGCAGTGCTGCATTTTTGGAGATCCTGTCCTTCAAGTGAGACCTTTAAACAGAGATCTCGTCTTTTTTTTCCCAATTTCTGGAATAGTGTTATTGCAGGTCATGCCAGCATTTATTGCAATCTTAACTGCTCTTGGGGGGGGATAAAAGGAGATGTTGAGGTGCCTTGTTGAACTGCTGCAATTTTGTGGTGAAGGTAACACCACAGTGATGTTCCTGAGGGAATTCTTGTATCTTGATCCAATGACAATGGTGATGTATTTCCAAAGCAGAATGGTGCATTACTTGTTGGGGAACCTGTAGGGAAATGGTGTTCCCATGTGCATGCTGCACTAGTTCCTTCAGATACTTGAGATCAAGGGGTTGAGAGATGCTGTCATGTAAAACTTCGGCACATCGCTGGCATGCAATTTGTAGATGGTGCACACTGCAGTCTTAGTGTGCTCAATGTGCAGGAGTTGAATGTGTTAGGTGTGGAATGGAGTGCCAGTAAAGCAGGCTGCTTTATTCTTCAGTATATTTAAGTTAGCCTCATCCATACAAGTGGGGAGCATAATACTGATTTGTGCTTTGTTAATTCTGGAACTAATTTCTCAAGTCAGCAGCTGAATAACCCACTATGGAACATCAAACTACTGATTTGCACTTGTAGCCATTGTACTTATTCCAAACTAATTAGGCTCAATTCAGTCCCTGATTAATAGGGCTTGCCCTCTGCACTCCCTGGATGTTGATAGTGGGGGATTGAGCAATCGAATGGCATTGAATTTCAAGGGGAGGTAAATAGGCCTCATCTTGTTGGTGATAGTCATTGCATGGGACATGTATGGACCAAATGTTATTTATCATGTATCAGCCACTGAATGTGGTCCAGGTCTTCCTATATGCAGGCATACACTGGTTCCAAGCTGAAGAGTTGTGAATGAAGCTAAACACTACAATCATAAACAAGAGCGTGTTATGCTGGAGGAAAGGTTAATGATGAAGCAGCTGAAGATGGTTGGGCCTAGGACATTCACCTGAGGAATTCCTGCAGAGATTTCCAGAGATTGAGATAATTGCTCTGCAGTAACCACAACCAACTTCCTTTGTATTGAGCGTGACTCAATGTAGTAGAGAGTTTTTGCCTGATTTCCACTGGATTCAGGTTTATGTGGCTGTCTGGATGGCACATTTGATTACTGCATTGCCTTGATGTCAAGGGTAGTTACTTTCACTTCATTTCTGGAGTTTGGCCCATTTTGGAACCAAGGCTGTGAAGCAGTTAGGAGCTGAGTGTCCCTGGCCAAATCCAAGCAGAGCATCAATGAGCAGGCTATTGCTGTGTAAGTGCCGACCCTTTCCATCACTTTTTCTTATTGATGGAGTAGGCTGATGTGGAAGTCGTGGGCTGGTGAGCATTGTCCTGCTTTTTGTAGACAAGATATGTCTAAGTAATTTTCCATTTGGTTTGTTAGCTGCCGGTGTTGTGGCTGTACTGGACTGTTAGCATGTGGATGGTGTCAAAAGAATGTAAAAATGGGACTTCATCTCCACAAAAACTGTGCTGTCATCACTCCTACTAATAACTGTCATGGACACAGTAGATTATGTAAGGTGGTGGCCAAATTAGTTTCTTCTGTATGTTGGTTTTCTTCCTACTTCTGTATCCTTTAGTGTTCAGTCAGTACAAGTGCTGCACTTTAGGTAATGGGCATTGATGTCCCACAAACAGATTCAGTTTTATGTCAAGGCTATCATCAGTTCTTCTTCCATCTGATGTTAAACCTGGTGGACAGATTCATCAATCGAAGAGGGGAAGAAGATGGTGATCAGTAGGTTACCTTACCTGAGGTTAACCCGATGTCATGAGGCCTGAAGCCATGAGCTGCTCTTGCTTGACTAGTCTGTAGGATTGCTGTTCAATTTCAGCTTAAGTCCTCAGGAAGATTTGTAGGGTTGACTGGCCTGACAGTGCCTTTGTCACATCGATTGCCTCAATGGCGCTGGGTAGTGTCTCTGGTTTTACTATTGTTTTCTTTTATCGGTTTTATATAACTGAGAGAGCAGTTAACAGTTTGGAGTGACATTTAGGCCCTGGTGAGTAAAGACTGATTAAAAGCAGACATTTTTCTTTTCTAACTGTCTAGTAATTTCATAGTAACGTTCGTGATGTCAGTATTTTTAATGTTCCACTCTCACTTAATTTACCTGATTTTAAATTCCATCAAGTGTCCTGGTGAGATTTGAAATTATGCCTCCAGATCATTAGTCCATCTTCTAAGATTTCCAGGTCAATATATCGCCACTATACAATTATACTTGGTACAGTTGCAATCTTGGACCTTAAACGATATTCTGAGCAATGCTTCATTTAGCTTGCACACATTGGTACTGTGCAGAAAACTGAAGGACTGCAGTACCCTGATCACAAGCTGTCCTGTTTAAGCAGCTGTGGGAAACAAAAGAAAATAAATTATGAAATGAGCAGGCCGCACACAAGAAAGAAAAGAGAGGGCTTTGCTTTGGGGCAGTGTTTCGTTTCTTAAAAAGCACAGTCCGCCTGATATTTAATCCCAGTATATACTTCAAGTAGTCTTTAAGGTTCAAGTGGTGAAGGGATAGTATTACTGTCTTGGAGACAGGAGGCCCAGGTTCAAGTTTCGCCTGCTCCACAATTTGTAATAATATACCTGAACAGGTTGGTGTGAAACAGTGCAGGTGGAATCCTTTTAAGAACCAATTACATGTCAAAGCAGGGCAACCTCTGGCTGGTAAACATGGACATTACAGTTGCACTCACAATGAAAAATCCCATGAACTCAAGACTGCATGTTTAAATTATGATGAAGCACAACATCCTATGTAATGAAATCCAGGAACATATTTATAAAGAACGAATAACAATTGCTTCCAGTCCTTGTAGCTATTTTAAAGTCCTATTGTCCTGCCCCTTTGAGTAGAGTGTGGTGCCTCTGCATTTAGGAGGAATCCAATTTCCCTGCTCTGCCATTTATTATGATATTTGTATGGAAATACCAAACCATTACCTTGAATAAGTTGACGTCACACAGGAGAGAGATAAAATTGAAGAGCACCTTTGCATACCTCCTAGCAACAGTTTTGTTTGTACTTGGCTAAAGCAAAGGACTATGCCTTTGTTGAGGATATGATACAGAAAAGAGGACTTTTAAAAATTTTAAAAATTGTCCAGTGATATAAGGAGCAAAAACAAATAGTTTTGTTTGGAAGATGGTTTTATAGTTACAGGTTTCAAGTTTGAGATTTAAATAATAAACTTTATTTTCTGTTTTCTTGAAGGTGCCATTCTTTTTGTACATTAACTTTGTTTTGTATACAATGCTGCCATTATGTACGCGGGATGCCATCATTGCAAGTGTCCTGTCATCCATCTCTCATATTGTTGCCCTCAGTGTTCATTTCTCAGTTGTACCAGACATGTCCTCCATTTCTCAGGTGAGTCTACCTTGACTTTCTCAGTGGTTTGTATAAATTTCTCTTTCCTTTTGAACCTGCTACTCATCTAAGTCAAAACCCCATGATTAAGTCAATGGATTTGACACATGTACTTATCAAAGATGGTGATATATTAATAAATGAGAAGCGAATACACCAATATCTCACTTTATGCATTTGGTGTACAGGATACTTAAATGATGTATGGAACGGTGCAAATGAGTGAATTAAAAGAGAAAGCCCAGCTACAAAAAAGTGGTATGGTGAAATCCTGTTATAGTTCTTAAAGCAAAATCAAGTTCAGTACTATTAGATTAGTAATTGTCACTCATTATAAATGAAAGAAACTTTGCAATAAATGATATGTTCTTTAATTGTGATGGATGGCATATGATAATAAACAGTATGTTCCCTCATAAGCAATGAAGAACCTAAAATATGTGCAAGGAATAAAAACGTAGCATTTTCTCCATTAACTAACTTAATTTTAGGTTTTCATCTGCACTGTTCCACCTTTCTACCTGGAAGATCATTCTAAGTGCTGACATTTTTTGCATGAACTTGATCTTCCTGATCATTTTGAGTGAAGTTCCCTCCACCGGTTTACAACTATGCTTCAATGTTCTTGCATCCTGGCAAACCAAGACTAACTGTCATTGTCATTTCCGAACTGTGTGCTTTCTTCTTTATACCATCATGAAAGCAATTCTCCCTTTGCTGGAGGTAGTGAAAGAGGTGACAAGAAAGAGAAATAATGGTGCGAGTTGGTCCTGGAGAGAAACTCACTCCCTTGTCGGCTGAGCTATTAAATGCTGGGTGAAAAGCTCCACTTAATGCCCTTATGTTGTCAATTAATGATCAATTCACTGTCTTCCCTGGCATACAAAAGATGCTTATTTTCCTAAAACTATGGGAAACCATGGAACCTGCCAAGTTAGAGGGCCATCCAATTGAGCTGATCTGGGGATAATTGGAGGCACCAGCTCCCCTCTCCCTGCAACACCCAGACCTCCAACAAGAAGATAAAAATGACAACTTCTCACAGCTTGATCCCCCCCAAGGAGTGGAGCTCCTTTAGAAGCCAGGGACTGCTGGTCTCTGACCAGTGGTTGCTGGTGTCTCAGGACACCGATGTTGAGGACTACTACAGGGCTGTTCTTATCAGCTCTGTGAGAGAGCTCACTTGTCGCACCCTCCACTCGCCCAATACTTAGAATATGGGAAAGTCCTGCCCAATCTTTCAATAGCCTCCTGATATCTGATATACCTAAAGGTGAGTCTGCAACACACTTAAACATTTGATTCCATTTCACCTTTTGCTGTTTCTGCAGCATACATAATGTATTTGTGACTGTTTTTTCCCCCAGTGTGCTTTTCCTTTCCTTTGTCTGTCAGAAGTCTCAATGGATAGAATTGTACCAATGTCCTTTTGTCGGGCCTCAGCTGTTTTCTCTGACACAGCTGCTGCGCCTAGTTTAGTATCATCTGGGAATAGAAATAGCAGGCAGAGTGTTAGAGACTGTAACACAGAATTTTGGATACCATAAATCATTTGGATCCCTTTCACATTGTTTGACTTAAACAAAATTTCTGGATTCCATTTCAGTCTTGCAACACATTTGAGGGTTTCTAGATAGCTTTTCTTGCTTTTATTTGATTTCACTGTGAAATGCAAATGGATATTGTAAACAATGAAGCTGAAACTTTAATATTTTTGTGCTGTATAGATCATCCAGCCGCCATTTTAAATGACAATGTATACTCTTGCATTTGGCAGAGGTCATGCATTGCATCGAGTGAGCTTACCTCCAAAAAAGATTGGCCACAGAAATTATGATCTGCAACTAGACTGTACCCTGTGAAAGATCTAATCGGAGAAGCATTTAGGACTATGGGGGCATAAAGGGACAATTCCAACAACTTTTGAATGGAGTGTCTTTACCTCTGTTTGCTTTTCTTGTCCAGACATGGTGAGGTTGAGGGCAAAATTGTGTTTTGTTGTTGCTGATCACTATCAGGCCTGAACCTTACTCAGTAGGGATATCTAAAGATGGCTGGTGAAGTGTGGTTGATTGGCACATAATCACAATTCGAAGGGAGAACTAATTGCAGCCATTTAATTTAATGATGGTGAAGCATCCAACACTATAATTTGCTACTTGTGTAGTTCACAGTGTTGTGTAGCAAATTTACTGAGCTTTGAACTTTGCCTATCTAAATTCCAGTTTGGAAAAGGGGCTTAGAGTTTTGTAATTTTAAAATTTGACAAGCAGTTTTCGGTCATAGTCTACCACACAAATTAAAGTGAGCACTGCTAGTAGTGGTGGAATTTGGAAAAGTATTAAATATAATTTGCTCAATTAATTTCGCTCATCAGCCAAACCTCCCTCTAGGATACTGTACTCCCTTATTCCAATAAAGAGGAATTTTGTAAGTCTAATTGGATATAATATTGGCTGAGTGATAGGAAACAGTGTAATGAGCAATGGATTCTTTTCAGACTGGAGGAAGGTTTATAGTGGTGTTCCCCAGGGACCTTGCTTTTTCTGATCTATATTAATAGTCCGGACCTCAGTGTGCAGGGGACTAATTCTAAGTTTGCAGATGACACTATGCTTGAAAGAATTGTAAGCTCTGAGGAAGATGGTGTAGAACTCCAAAAGGACATTGACAGTGGTGAGGTGTGGCAGATGAGGTCCAATGCAGAGAATTGTGAGGTGATGCATTTTGTTGGAAGAACAGTGAGAGATAATACAAAATAGAGGGTACAATTCCAAAGGGGTGCAGGAACAAAGGAACCTGGGTGTATGTGTGCACAGATCATTGAAAGTGGTGGGACAGGTGGAAAGAGTGGTTAATAAAGCATAAGGTGTTCCTGGTTTTATTAATTGTGGCACAGAGTGTTAGAGCAGGAGGTGATGTGAAACTTGTACAAGACACTCAGACCTCAGTTGCAGTATAATGTTCATTTGTCGGCACCTCATTCACAGTAAGATGTGAATGCATTGGAGAGAGTGCAGAAGCTGTTTGCAAGAATGGTTCTGGAAATGAGAAGCCTCAGACATGAGGGCAGATTGACAAATTTGGAACTGTCCTCCTCAGAGAGGAGAAAGCTGAGAGGAAATTTGATAGAGGTTTCCAAGATCATGAGTGGGCTGGATAGAATAGATGGGAGAAGCTTTTCCCACTCGTAAAAGAAATAAAGAGGGCATAGATTTAAAGTGATGTGCAAACAAAGTAAGGATAATGTGAGAAAAATGGTTAGCGAATTGTTTGGATCTCGAATGCACTGCCTGAAAAATGCGATGGGAACAGGTTTAATTGAGACATTCAAGAGAGCCTTGGATGGTTATTTGGATAGAAATGGTGTTCAGGCATATGGGGAAAAGGCAGGGCATTGGCACAAGATAATAGGAATGGTGTAGACATGATGGGCTGAATGGCCTCCTTCTGTGTCATAACAATTCTATGATTCTATGAATTCCCACAATCCTAGAATTTCATTACAGTTATTAAAGCTAAAGATAGGCTGTACAGAGCAATTGCAAATAGTTTTTTTTGTAGGAAATTAGACTGTTTATGACAGATTTTTTAACTAAGGTTTGTTTTTCTTTGATATATCAATGTTTAAGGATAAAGAGATACTACAAATACTTATGTTTCTCAATAAATGACTCATCTTCAACAACAAACATCTGAGCAATATAATGGTTGTAGCAAAACACCAGTTGTATTTACTTGTTTATGAGTGTGAGAGCAAGCAACGCCAATGTTTGGCAGAATTTACTTGGTCATAACAGAGCAGGGAAACATCAATTCATGGCAAGCTGATTTTTGGTGTCCTTTATGTAATCTGCATTTGTGTAATCTGTTTCCAACACACGAATTTGCTTAGAAAACATTGTTTTATTTATCTATATAAAACAAACAACCGTGAATGTTGGAGATCTGAAACAAAAACAGAAATTGCTGGCGAAACTCAGCAGATTTGGCAGCAGCTGTGGGGAGAAGGCAGAGTTAACATTTTGAGTCTGGTGCTCCTTCATGATGAGTTCCACTAACAACTGTTTTATATAGGCTTTGTAAAGTTGAGTACTAATCTTCAAAGTGGTTTATGCAATGATAACTCTGAGTCACCAAGATGCTAAAAATGCCATGATATGGAGGTGCTGGTTTGAAGTCACCTCCAAAGGAGCAGCAGTCTGAGAGCTTGTGATTTCAAATAAACCTGTTGGACTGTAATCTGGTGTCGTGTGACTTCTGACTTTAAAAATGCTAGACCAGTTTATGAAGCTGGTATCAACTACCAGAAAGAAGTGCATTTTTATCTTTTGTAAATAAGTTTGCATTCTTGAGACATTTTTTCCTCCAATAAAACTCTTATTTATTGGGATGCTCCCAGCTGGTATAACATGGTAATACAGACGAGTGGGAAGAAAGTGCGACCATTGCCATCCTCCAACCAGGCACATTACACAGCAGTTCGTCGAGCATTCTCCAATCATTTAAGGATGTTAGATGTCATGGAGAGACTCGAAGACAAATTAAAAGAAAGTGATCTGATATTGAGAATTTCATTTATCATTCCATTCATGGTAGAAGGAAGTGATTTTATTTAAAGTCTACTGGCCACCCAACAAATTTTCAGAATGGGCCGCTCAGTAGTTGGCAAGGGCTCCAAGCTGCACCAAGCAAGAATTTCATTGCAATATTTACATTTGGTTGTTGTGAAAACCTAAGCCAATTTTTAGGTACCCAGGGGTGTGCAAACCAATGGTTCTTAAATGGACTACAAGGAGGCTACTGTTAGTCACCCAAAATTCTCCTGTTTCCACAGGTTTCCCACAGTAAGCTGTCTGCTGCTCAGTGCCCACCATGCCAGGTTGTGACCCCCTACACCCCAGCCTTTAAATGACTTGACCAAACTTTGCTCTGCCGCAAAACTATCGGACTCCAGCAATATTTTCCTCTCCCCTACATAAGTCAATCTGCACACGTACAGTCAAATTTGATGTAACTGCGTTTTGAAACCAAAAGAGTATACTTAGTTCATAAAAGGTTCTATAAAATATGACAATTCAATCTTTTTAATGAAGATTTGGGTATCATTTAAGTGTTGTGTAAATAATACGTGAGACAAATTCGATACTATGTTTAAACATTAACTTTTATTTTTGTATTCCAGTTGATTTCCAATGCTGTGATATTTTTGTGTGGTTGCTTGATTGGCTTTTTTCATAAATTCTCAATGGAACGTGCCTTAGAGCAAACTTATGAGGACACTTTAAGCTGTATACAAATAAGGATGCAGTTGGACATTAAGAAGAAACAGCAGGTGAGGATAATAAAGTTTCATTCAATTCCACTTCACAACAAGAGTTTTATTGAGGAGAAAAATGTAATGTGTAATCGATTTCCTTCTGTTTAAAAGTATGGTGATTTAAAAATTGGACTAAGCTTTCCCAAAATATCTTGGGGAGCAGTATTTTATGTAAATATTGAGGCAACTTTACCCTTCCACCAAGATTAATGTGGATTCCCATTAGTTAAACTTTTCATAGCATCGTACATAGTTACAATTTTGAAAGAGATCATTTAGCCTGTCATGTCCATGATAGTGATGTGCATTTAATTCCAATCACTTGTCTTTTTCCTGTAGCCCTGAAATTCTTTTCAGTTCAGATAATTATATCATTCCCTTTGAAGGTGATGATCAAGTCTGACACCCCCACACTTTCAGGTGGTACATTGCAGTCCTACTCATTTGCTGTGTAAAAACAATTTTTTTCGATAATTAGAATCTTAAGCACAGAAACAGGCCCTTCAGCCCAACTTGGCCATACTGACCAGGTTTCCTAAACTGAAGTAATCCCATTTTCTTGCACCTGGCCCATCTCCTAAATCTTTCCTATCTGTGTACCAATCGGAATGTCTTTTAAAGGTTGTAACTGTACCTGCCTGTGTCACTTCCTCTGGCAGCTCATTCCATATATACACCGTTGCCTGTGTGAAAAAGTTGCCCCTCGGGTTCCTGTTAATTTTTCCCTTTCTCACCTTAAACCCTTCCTTCCCTCTGTTACCACCACTTCTTCTTGCCAGTCATCTTAAATTGTTGACTTTTACTTCTCAACACTTCCACCAATGGGAACAATTTTGCACTATCTAATTCTGTCCAGATCCCTCATGATTTTGAACACCTCTACTAATCATGTTTCAACCCCGACTCCCCCCACCATCTCCGTTCCCTCCTGTGATGCCGGGAATTGAATGCAAGAATATGCCAAGCTAGTCTTAAAAAGATTCACTATAACTCTTGTGAACTTCGCCTGACTGATATTAAAGTTAGCCCAATTCTGGGTTTCTGCCAGGGAGCTTCACAGGCTGGAAGAGTTTGTTATAAATATAGGTAGGTCAGTCACAAGGTTTTAGTGTGAATGCTTTAAATTGTTGAACAATCAGTCCAAACAGAGTTCTGTGTAATTGCTTAATTTTCAACGCTACGCATAAGGTTCTTGGGATGTCTGCTCAGTAAGATGTTGAAGGCACCTGAAGATGTGGTTATTTTAATCGTTGGCTTGGATGTGCTTGACGCTGACACTGCGGCTTCAATATTCATTCACGAGCAGTGAGGTTGGTTAATGAGACTTCAGGCCATATCAATGTTTTTTAAATTAAATGAATGGCTATGTTTAAGTGACAATAAAATATTGAAAGAGTTATGTACACTTACCCTGCACCACTTCTTTTATTCCAGGAAAGCCTGCTGTTATCAGTGTTGCCAGGTTATATATCTATGGAAATGAAACTTGCTATTATTGAACGTTTGAAAGAAAGTAACTATTATCCACACAAGCGCGATAATTTCCACAACTTGTATGTAAAGAGGCACCAGAATGTAAGGTACAGTGTAGCTATTCATAATTTTCATAGTATTGACAAAGCGTTGAATTAGAATTAGAACCAAGTCTAGCCTGTGCCAACATTTGAAATTTTTTTTAATGCAATATCTTAAAATACTGTGATTTTCAAGTATTCACCTGAGAAGTTACATTGAGTACCCTACTAATGACTGCATGAGACAGTATATTACTTTATTCTGCGCTGTTGTAACACAGGTCTTTGGACAAACCAGCAAATGAATACATATTCTCCATATCTAACCTAACGAACTATTCATAATTTTTGATGCTTTAATCAGATCCTGTCAGGATCACCTCTAATTCTCTTTTCTAATGTAAAAGGCACCTGTAGTCTTTCCTGGCTGTAATTTCTCACCTCTGAAACCACCCTTGAACATCTTGTTTGCATTTTCTGCAGTGGGTCTACTGTAGTATGGAGACTACAGTGCTTGCACACTGCTGCTAACTGGGTCCTGGCTGGGACTAAGTTCAGCATGCCTTCACTACTTTTGAATTCTACACATCCAGGAATAAGCCCCAGTGCTTTCTTTACAGTTTCATTGTCTTGGTGCTAAGCAATGCTGCTTTTAATGATGTGTTCACCAGCCTCCTTAGATCCATTTGCTCTTCTACCCATTCAGTTTCTTATTTTCTAAGACAGACAGTGGTGTTTCTGCTTTCATTACCTTCCTAGGTCAGTTGGGTTAGTCTGCACATTTTCAAACGTCTTAATAAAAACCGAAAGAACTGCAGATGCTGTAACTCAGGAACAAAAACAGAAGTGGCTAGAAAAGCTCAGTAGGTCTGGCAGCATCTGTGAAGAAAAAAGTCAGAATTAATGTTTTGGGTCCGGTGACCCTTCCTCAGAACTGCCGGACCTGAAACGTTAACTCTGATTTTTTCTTCACAGATGCTGCCAGACCTACTGAGCTTTTCCAGAAACTTCGGTTTTTGTTTTCAAATGTCTTCTTGTATTATATTGGACTCTTCCTCAGTGTTAGCTGTACCTCCAGTTTGCTGGTATCATGAGTTATTTGTCCCTACATCAAAATTATTAAGTTATGAATAACGGTGATCCCAGCATAATTGCTGTTGTCCAATATAACTTTCCTCCAATATAAATAACTCCCATTATCCCTACTCTATTCGTTTTTAAATTTGAGGTTTCTTCCATTTTGCTCCTTGTCTCTTGGCTTTACATAGACTCGTCTTTAATTTTCTGGACTGTTCCTTATTAAAGGCTTTTGAAAATCCAAGGGCTGAATCTTAATTTTTTGGCTATGTGCGGGTTGCATCAGGTTTTTTGGAGGGATTTCTGCTCTGGGGCCAGACAGGTTTTCTGTCTGTATCTTACCAAATTCACCATTACTGGGACAACTCACCAATCAGCAGATAGCCCAGAATTTGCTGGTGTCCCTTGTATCCAATACCAGTATATCTTTCCTTAGATACGGCCCCAAAACTGTTTGCAGTAGTCCATGTGTGGGTCTGACTTGAGCCTTTTTCTAGCAAAGCCTCCCAATGTAATACTCCATTCCCCATGCAATAAAGGCCAACATTCAATTTGCCTTCCATCTTGTCTACTGAACCCATATGCTAGCTACTTGTAATTCAGGAGCAAGGACTTCCAAACTCCTCTCTTACATCGCTTTCTCTCGCCTTTCTTTATTTAAATAACAGTCATTCCTGTATTCTTCCTGCCAAAATGCATAATCTCACATTTTTCCATATTATATTCCATCTGCCAAGTCTTTCCACTTGCTTAACCTGTCTTATCCCTCTGTAGACTCTGTGTCATCCGCAACACTTGCCTTCTTGTCTATTTTTGTGTCTGTATTGGCTATATGACATTCACTTTCCTCATCTAAGTCATTAATATACATTGTAAATAATTGTGGCACTAACACTGAACCGTGTGGCAGTCCATCCTGAAAATGCTCCCCTTGTCCCAATTCCCTGTGTGCTGTTAGCCAATTCGTATCTGTGCCAACGCTGGTGGCAGCGGTCTAACATGGTGGTATTTCTGAGCAAGTGGTGAGCTGGATTCACCAGTTACCAGCTCTAGTTTCCATGTCATAAATGCTAACCTGGCAAGTTTGGCCGTTAGCAAGATGTTTCGCAAACGATAGTCTTTTAACTGGTGTCCTGCAGCTGGCTACGCTGCATGTGAATGTAAAAAAAGATGGAGTGAGATGCTCCCTCATGGACTTCCTATCCAGATCTGCCACACATCTCGCCAAAGCCCTCGTTGCTTTGACCCCTGTATTTATTTGACATAACTGCATATTCTAGTGTGCTGTTTCCTTTTAAAGAATTCTATCAGGCTAGCTAAACATTTTGAAATACATATTGACTAATTTTTTTTTGTCTGTAGATCCTCTTCTGTCACTCTTTATATATAGATTCGGATATCTTTCATGTCCTTGCTATTAAGCCTGCTACTTTGTAGTTCCCATGTTTTGTTCTGCTTCCTTTATCTGTATGTAGGAACGTTATGAGCTGCCTGCCAGTCCTTACTCTGTGCCTCAGCAATGGAACCTCTGCCCTCTTATTTTTGTTTGCTAATATTTTGCTCCAGTTCAATCCTAACATTTTTCTTATGTTCCTTCTCTTGTGGAGTCTCTATTTTGTTACCTTCAATAAAAACTGAAATGAGATACTTATTGAATACTTACACCATTTTTCTCATTACATTTGAGTTTATCATGCTCATCTTTTGCCTTACTGCTTCATCAGTCCTCCTTTTGCTAGCAGAGTGTTGAAATGATTAGAGACTGGGGTTACAGGACAGCAGTATTGGAGGAGCGCATGACAGGGATGTAAGGTCATTGGTGATAATTCTAAAAGGTGTTGGTGAAGTGGCAACGAGTGTCGGCCAGGGTGGTGGGTGAACAGGACTTGGCACAAGTTAGATATGTGCAACAAAGTGTTGTTTGAGCTCAGGTTTGTGAAGGTGAAAGAAGGGAGGCTATTCAAGAGAGAATGGAACAGTTGAGTCTAGAGGTAATAAAAGCTTGGTTGAAAGCTCCAGCAGCACCAAAGTTAACGGAGGTGAGGAAGTTAGTCGTCTTAATAATGGGATAGAGATGTGGTCAGAAGCTTACATCAGGGTCAACCTCAATTTCTAGGGAGAAAGTTGGAATCAGTGGCTAGGGAACAGCGATAGTGGCAGGGCTAAAATACAGTGGCTTAGGTCTTCCTGATATTTAGTGGGAGATTGGGTGAGTACTATGACATAGTGGAGACAGTGGAGGGAATCCACTGTTGGCAATATAGAGTGATGTACCATCAGTGCACATGTGGAACCTGACAAAATTTTCAGAAGCTGCAAGTGAGGGACAAAATGATGAGAATTGGGTTCTGGTCAAAGGTAGATCCTTGTGGTGAAGGAGTGGGAAGAGAAATCATTCCTGTGTTTAGTATTTAAGTACTGACAGTGCCCCTATATTTCACTTGATGCTTTTAATACACAAGATGCATTTCAAACTAAAAAGAGCCAACATGGAATTATTCTTCAGCTGTTGTCTCAAAGTTACATGGTACAATGCTACTAAATGTCTGCTGGGACTGCAATCAAATTTATTATACATACTCTTTTGGATTACCGACTTGAAAATGTCATTCAGTTTCTTCCTGGCTAACTTTACTGGGGAGTTAACAAGGTGCAGAGCTGGATGAACACAGCAGGCCAAGCAGCATCAGAGGAGCAGGAAGACTGACGTTTCGGGCCTAGGCCCTTCTTGAGAAATGGGGGAGAGGAAGGGGATTCTGAAATAAATAGGGAGAGAGGCGGAGGCGGATAGAAGATGGATAAAAGAGCAGATAGGTGGAGAGGAGAGGAGACAGACAGGTCAAGGAGGCGGGGTTGGAGCCAGTAAAGGTGAGTGTAGGTGGGGAGTTAGGGAGGGGATATGTCAGTCCAGGGAGGACGGACAGGTCAAGGAGGCGGGATGAGGTTAGTAGGTAGGAGATGGGGGTGGGGCTTGAGGTGGGAGGAGGGGATAGGTAGGAGGAAGGACAGGTTAGGGAGGCAAGGGCGAGCTGGGCTGGTTTTGGGATGCGGTCGGGGGATGGGAGATTTTGAAGCTTGTGAAGTCCACATTGATACCGTTGGGCTGCAGGGTTCCCAAGCAAAATATGAGGTGCTGTTCCTGCAACCTTCGGGTGGCATCGTTGTGGCACTGGAGGAGGCCCAGGATGGACATGTCGTCCAAGGAGTTGGGGGGGTGGTGGAGTTGAAATGGTTCGCGACTGGGAGGTGCAGTCGTTTGTCGCGAACCGAGTGTAGGCGGTCTCCGAGTCTCCGCTTGGTTTCCCCGATGTAGAGGAGGCCATATCGGGAACAGCGGATATAGTATAGCACATTAACAGATGTGCAGGTGAACATCTGTTTGATTTTGAAAGTCTTCTTGGGGCCTGGGATGGGGGTGAGGGGGGAGGTGTAGGGACAGGTGTAGCACTTCCTGCAGTTGCAGGGAAAAGTGCTGGGGGTGGTGGGGGTGGTGGGGAGTGTGGAGTGGCCAAGGGAGTCACGGAGAGAGTGGTCCCTCCGGAAAGCAGATAAGGGTGGGGAGGGAAACATGTCTTTGGTAGTGGGGTCAGATTGCAGATGGCGGAAGTGTCGGAGGATGATGCGTTGGATCCGGAGGTTGGTGGGGTGGTATGTGAGTATGAAGGGGATTCTGTTTTGGTTGTTATTGCGGGGAGGGGGTGTGTGGGATGAATTGCGGGAAATGCGAGAGACGTGGTCGAGGGCGTTTTCGACCTCTGTGGAGGGGAAGTTGCGGTCCTTGAAAAACGAGGACATCTGGGATGTCCAGGGGTGGAACGCCTCATCTCGGGGGCAGAGGCGAAGGAATTGGGAATGGGGGATGGCATTTTTGCAGGAAGGTGGGTGAAAGGAGGTGTATTCTAGGTAGCTGTGGGAGTCCATGGGCTTGAAATGGATATCGGTTTCCAGGTGGTTGCCAGAGATGGAAACAGAGAGGTCCAGGAAGGAGAGAGAGGTATTGGAGATGGTCCAGGTGAACTTAATGTTGGGGTGGAAAGTGTTGGTGAAGTGGATGAACTGTTCAAGCTCATTGTGGGAGCATGAGGCGGCACCGATACAGTCATCGATATAACGGAGGGAGAGGTGGGGGGATGTGGCTAATGTAGCTTCAGAAGAGGGACTGTTCCACGTATCCTACAAAGAGGCAGGCATAGCTTCGGCCCATGCAGGTACCCATGGCCACCCCCTTTGTCTGTAGGAAGTGGGAGGAATTGAAAGAGAAGTTGTTGAGGGTGAGGATGAGTTCGGCTAAGCGGATGAGGGTGTCAGTCGAGGGGGACTGGTCAGGCCTGCGGGACAGGAAGAAGTGAAGGGCCTTTAGGCCATCTGCATGGGGAATGTAGGTGTATAGGGACTGGACGTCCATGGTAAAAATGAGGTGTTGGGGACCAGGGAATTGGAAGTTTTGGAGGAGGTGGAGGGCGTGGGTGGTGTCACGGATGTAGGTGGGGAGTTCCTGGACCAAGGGGGAGAAAATGGAGTCGAGATAAGTGGAGATAAGTTCGGTGGGGCAGGAGCAGGTGGAGACAATGTGTCGACCAGGGCAGTCAGGTTTGTGGATTTTGGGAAGGAGATAGAAACGATTCACTGGGGAGATGCTTGTTTTGAGTATTTTACAATTAGCACCTGAAAATGAAAAGCTTTCCAGAAATTGGGTTTGGTATTCCCTCGTGACAATCCTATCAGGCACAGTCCAGGAATTGCTTTGTTACTGAGATAGAGAAAGCACGACTCACTTCCCTTCCTTCCTCGATCTTATTTCCTCAATTTCTAACAATGGCAACATTTATTTAACTGCAGATCTTGTTTTCACAAGTATTCCTTTGTTGTTAACAGCATATTGTATGCAGATATTGTGGGCTTCACACGTCTGGCTAGTGACTGCTCACCCAAAGAACTTGTTGTCATGCTGAATGAACTGTTTGGGAAGTTTGACCAGATTGCTAAGGTAGGCCTTGGTTCTCTTAATTCATTTGTGCATCACCGAAACCATTTTGGCTCCTTCTCATTCATACAGAAGCAAAATACTGTAGATGCTAGAAATCTGAAAGAAAACAGTAAAAATGCTGGAAATAGGTAATCAATCTGATAGCATCTCTGAAGAGGGGAAGAGATGAGGTTTGTGTTGATGACCTTTTGTATTTCCAGTGTTATTGTGTTTACTGTCAGGCCTGAAATTATAATTATATTTTTGAACTAAATTAGTGAGTTAAGTGGTGCTTCAGAATGGACAAAATGTTTTCTTTTGATGTGGGGGTGCAAGTAAGGAAGGAGGTGTTGCGTAGAAAGTGCAGGTATGGGGGAGAAATAGAAACCTGACATTACTTCAGGTTTTGTATTTTAACATTTGCAAAGATTGCACAACGTGGACTTGCATCTTGTATCCGATAATATCGGGTGATAGACAAATGGCTCCCATATATATATTCATGACATTCCATTTTATCCCAATGTCTCAAATTTATTCCCTTCCCCAGTGTCATTCCTGGACCAGTTTTCATTTTCTGAGCTAAGCAGATGAACAAAATTTCAGAATCAATTGCAGTCATGGACTGAATTAGCATTATCAGCCAAATAATGGCAGGACGACGACTGTAGCCCATACAGACCTTGTCTATGCAAGGTAAAATCAGCCAAGACATCTGTATCTGCTTGCTATTCATTGCAGGCATGTGGATGTTGAGATGTCACCATGAAAGGTTGTGATGTCCCATATGATGTAGACACCTCTAATTTAGGTTCAACTTTGAAGAATGGGTAACTGGAGAATGACAAGCACCCATGAAGTTCTGCTGTTTTGAGGATCCTCCAGGCTGGGAGGAATGTCAATGAGAAATTAAAGTAATGATCATTTACACCAGTATATTTTGATCTTTAATGATCATTTCAGTATGAACATGATCAGTAGTTTGATACATCAGTTAAACTGTCACAACCTTAAGAAATTAATTTACAATTCTGAGAATTGATGTAATAACTATTTAATATTCTACCTGTCTACATACAAATCAATGTCTAATTTATTTGTATTCTAATGCAAATCTAGGCAAAACAGAAGGAAAATAATATCTTTCATTCCATAATATCTTGGCAATTTTTAATGATATTCATCTGCCTGCCACTGGAATGGACCAATCCAAATTTTAACTTGTTCAAATAAACATGGGGCAAAGACTCTGTCCAAAGCTGGCAGAGCAATTTTTACCTGTGCATGATAAATTCCAATTGCATTTTAAATAATTGTAAAATGAAACATTAAGATGTGTTAAACATTATTGGTATATGGTTGTGATGTCTGGGTCTATTATAAGTTATTACAAGACCACAAGGCCTGTAGAAGTTTGAACCACGAGCAGTTTATTTTGTCTTCACAGCTACACCGTAAAACCTAGACTGCCCAGGTCACCTGACCTACTCTCATAAAAGGACAGCATGCACCCCAACGACAAACGTTACAATGGTGACATAATTATCATGTTTTGCAATAGAAAATGAGTTGAATGCAATCCTTAACATAAATGATTTGTTGCATGATGCATTCTTCACTGTAATATAAAAACAATATTTTCTTAACACTTCTTTTTAGGACAATGAATGCATGAGGATAAAAATATTGGGTGATTGCTATTACTGCGTCTCAGGTCTTCCTGTGTCCTTACCGAAACATGCAAAGAACTGTGTGAAAATGGGGCTCGACATGTGTGAAGCTATTAAGTATGTAATAGTGTTTGTATGCAAAGCAGTTCAACCAATGCGGTATTGATTTTATTATTTCTCTTATCTTGGCTGTTCAATGATTCACATTTGATCATATTTGAATTTCCAATAAAATAATTTGTATCTAATTTAGTTATATTGAACTAGGAAATGTCAAGCTGAATTTAAAGTATGTTTTATGCTACAGTGAAATTAATCTTGAACAGTATCATGAAACAGCGATAGCAAATCACTCCGATAAAAGATAGTGTTGAGTAGGATTTGAATAATTGAAGTTAAGTTTGGATAATTTTAGCTTTCTTTATTATTTAAAAAATACTAGTACATCAACCATTTGAATGTGCCAGCCAACAAGAGTAAGAGATCTTCATGTTTATTGTTCATTGAAAAGCCCAACGTGGTTAATCTTCAGTTCTGTTCTTCCTATTGGCATCAGTAATATTCTGGCTGCGTTCTTGAGCCTGCTGTCGTTATGACCTGGATTCAGACTAGCCAACTCATTTCTCTTCGGGTCCTTACAGGCTACAAGGAGGGGATATTTTTGTCTTTAACCCTTCCATCAGTCTTATCTGTTTGTAAAATCAGGAAGGATGGTGTGGTAACCTACTGCTGCCCACAAAAACAAAATCTCAAGTTGATTTTGTACCTTTTACTTCACCAGCCTTATTTAAGGACCAAAGAATTTTTAATTGAAATTAAGTCTGGGGGAAAAAGACACAGCAAGAAAATTTGTTGCAAAGCAGCATACCACACAGTAAATTCAGATCTTCTCACCAGTAAAATTAATGCCAGAGCAGGGTCGGATAATTTTGGAATTGATGCTTAATCCATTGTGTTTGTTTTGCTCTCAATTTACAAGTAATTGGTTATCAGACATAATCTGTTGCAAAATAAGTGCAAAGAGGCACTACAGGTAACATTTTTACTCACTTATGCCATTCAAATTTTCCTTGCATAATATTGACCAACTTTGGCAAAAATGAACCAAAGATTAACCATGTTTCAATGGGGGAGAACGCACCATGTAAAGAATTGCAGTTGATTTCTGAGTAAACCTTTTAGCAGGACTAATTTCTCATGTAACTTCCATTTCTAATCATGTAAAATAATTTGGATTTAGGAACTGGAAATACTATTTATGTCTTTTTATCCTGCAAAGGCAAGTTCGGGATGCAACAGGAGTAGACATCAGTATGCGGGTTGGTGTTCATTCTGGGAATGTACTGTGTGGCGTCATTGGCCTTCGAAAGTGGCAGTATGATGTTTGGTCACATGATGTCACCCTAGCTAATCACATGGAATCTGGAGGAGTGCCAGGGTAAGATTTTGTTTTGCTTTAATTGGACCCTGACACAAGCTACAATTTCAACAAAATTCATAAATGAACAAAATTCATTCATGAAATTTGTCAGTTCACGAGAAGTGATTTAATATGGGATTGTATGTGGGTGCGAGTTAAATACTGTGGAGTGGTGTATAACCAGTTTGCATAGAGGAACTCCATTGTTTTTAAGTCTCACACTACCTTGACTTAGAAACATATTACTATTCCTTCATTAGCATTAAAGCAAGACCTCTTTTCTAGCAACTCTGTGGGAGTACCATCACCACTTGTACTGCTGCAGGCTAAGAAGGCAACTCCCCACCACGTTCTGATGGGCGATAAATGCTGGTCACATCTCATCGAATGAACGAATTAATTGACAATAACCTTCGCCAGTCTCTACTTCAAATGTTTATGGTCTATGTCTTATCTTCAAAATCATTGGCAGTGAAGGAGCTGCAGTAATTTGAAAGTGATTTCATTTTTGTAACTTTCCTCTAAAGTGGAATAGGTTTTGGCAATTGATGTTTTCAAGTGCGATACAAGTACAAACGCGTTCAGAACTGGTGGTTTGCAAAGACTATCAGTACAACTCTGGCTTAATTCATGAACACTTTATGGTGAAATATGGCAGTTACAGCACATGTTTGTTGCTCATAAACCACTGTTTCATTTATTTCTGAAATGTGTTAGATAAGTTATTTCATTTTCTAGAACAAAATTGGTGTGAGCAGTTAGTTTGCGTGCTTTGAAGTGAAAATAGATTTATTGATTGTTTCGTTTAGGCGTGTGCATATCACAGATGCTACACTGAACCATTTGCATAAAGCTTACGAAGTTGAAGAAGGAAATGGACATCAAAGAAATGCCTACCTCAATGAACTAAAGCTCAAAACATATTTGGTCATCGATCCAAGGGTGATTTATTTAATACTAATTCAATTGCTTACTTTGTTTTAATAATCTAAGGTCAATGATATGTTGAGTTCACCTGTAAACAAATAATGCGTTCAGTACAGTATTTAAAATTAAAATTGATTAAATTATGTACAAATACGTTAGTAATCCAAAATGAAAATCTTGTGGACTACTTTGAATATTTGCAAATGACATATTCTGCACTGGGTCATCTGCAGAACAGAATTAACACTGTAAGTGGTTTCTGACTCTATCTAATCTTTTTGTATGTTGAGATGTTTTCTTTAAATAATGAGTATTTTTGCTTTGTTTTTATGTACATAACACTGAGTCAGCTTAAATGTAAAAATAAGAAAATTCCATTCAGCTTATCTAGTTCATTACTGTTTCTATTTGAAGAATCTCTCAGTGCAAATGAGAAATGGCCTATCATAAATGTAGTTTGTATGTGTCTAGGATCATATCTTGTACAGGATCTTGCTGCTTGCTTTTTATGCTGTCTAACCTAGATACCAAAAATTAAATGGGAATTTCCTGATCTATATCCTTCCATTTCTCTCAGCTTAACCCATGGACTCATTAGATTATACATGAATAATATGATGATGTCACTGTTGTCCAATTTTTCACCAACATTAACATCATTCGTAATATGAAGGAGTGAATTTTCTTTAAACATCTCCCTCTGTCTTGATGTTCTTTTGCTGGAAATTATGATGTAAATGAAGTTTTCAATGGTGTTATGATGAGACTTATGAGTGGGAGAAACACAGATGAAGCTTTGAAATTCATTAGGTTGAGGAACATAAAGTACTCTAGAGATGTTGGTGCCCCTGAATGTGATTGTGATTTCAGATTTTGATAATGTCTTATCTTTGACTAGTGGGTAGGGAGAGGTGTTAGACAAACACCACGGTCTGAATTTTAATCTTTGAATTGGAAATTGAGAGTCAGACTGTTTATCATTGTCTTGTCTCCTTCCTGCCTGTACCCACCCAAGCTGTTTCTATCTTTGAGTGATGAGATGGCCTGGAGTTGGGATCATTGCCCCCTGATACAGATGGGAGGATGCTAACTCAGGCAGATTGGACGGCTGACCTTTATTCACTGGGTATTGGCCTCGTTCTATAATGGGTGTTAGATGAGAGAGGGCTGAAGTCACTATGATCCCTCCATTCCCCATTTGAACTTCATACGTCCTCTGATATCCCTCCATGCCCACTCAACCTGGCATCCGTTATGGACAGAACTGTTGACCCTTCTAATGCCATCCACTAAATGTACACAGAATTTCCAAATAACCAATCAGCAGTTCAAAATTTCCTTTGAGAAACCTCATTCCTGATAACTGTTCATGAAACAGTCAACCAAAGCAAAGTTTATAGCCCCTTTAACAACCTCTGCTGAACTGAAGGCATTATGGGATCTGCAGCTCTGCCAAGTGTTCCTAATCAGATTCCAGAACATAGCACTGTCAAAAAACAAGGCCGTTAGAGATTAATACATTAAAATCGTTTGAATTATAGGGGAAGATAGCCACCTGATCCACTGCTTCAAATGGATGAACAGATGATTGGATAATCTGTCAAAGAAAACGCTAAATCACAAAGGAAGTCAATACATTAAGATCTGAATCCTGAAACTCTTAAATGCAGAAGAGCTTTTTATTCATTGCCTACAATTCCTCACACATCTGAACACGTTCTTAATTCTGGGCATTATAATGGTCACTTACTTTTTAAAAGCCAAGCCTTGTCATCAATCAGTATTAAAAACATCTTTAACTGATACACACCATTAAGTTGTAACATATGAAGTTGCTATACTTTTTGGTGATCTTATCTGTCAAAAGCTTCTCAATTCAGCACTAGTCTTCCATCACGGTTCTGAACTTCTACAGTACTGTGAACCACATCTCTCAAGAAAATGGACCCGATACTGAGGAAATAGTGTGTACTCTACAATGCCCATCGCTGCAATGAAGTTGGCAAAGTCATTATTGCTGTGTGTGGGCTTCCTATCTTCACCGTCCTCTCAGGTCTGTAGAATTTCCACACGCTGGGAATAGAGGCAGGAGTTTCAGAATCAGGTCCTGACATAGATGGATGCATGAAAAACCTGTCCCAAGTGTTCGAGCTGATGAGGTGTATGAACCCTGAGTTAATTGGTATGCAGCACATACCTGAAATGTAGCAGAGGGCGAGGTCCATGTAAGCTTCAATAATTCAGCAAGCCCCTTTATCTGTTTTGCAGTGTGTCTTCAATATTCAAACATTGGGTTTGGAAATTGTTATGATAGCCATCTGAATGCAAAGCCTGTACTTTATATCTCCCAAATTTGAGTTTGGAGTTGTGTATTCACTTTGATCAGTAAAGCATAATGAACGCATTTTTGATAACCTTATACTTACTGTTTTTTGTTTATATCTTTACTAGGAAAAGATGTGCAAATTGTTGGTATTCAACAATGTCAGTGCAGATGAAGGAGTGACAAATATGTATTTCTTTAAGAAGTAGTTGAAACTATGAATTGTTAGTCTGGTGGTGAAGACTGGATTCTGTTTTAGGGATAGTACTGTACTTTTTATCAAGTCAATGTGTGTGGGATGTTCTTTTCTGCACTGACCTTTGCAGTATCTGCACAGCTTTTGACAGTCTTGGTTAGATATTGAACACACAAACGTCATCCACAGAATCGAAGTAGCTAACTTGTGGCTGCTTGTCTGTACAATGGAAAATTAATTTAATGAATTTGTGCCTCAAAATGCTTGTGTGTGGATATATTACTCATTGTTTTTGATGTGTAAGTGAAAATAAATACACGTTTGGATTTTCTGGTTAAAATCCTTTAAAAGGTAGTGTCTTGACTAAACCTTTGTGGAAATAGTTCCACTAAATTCATTCCCACCTCTGTGATTTAAAAAAGAAATCCCTCACAAGGAGTTTGGAATTTTGGATTTTAAAAAAATATGTAATCAGCAAGTAAGTCAAGGCAATTTGGAATGAAGTTTCATCTCAATTTTCATTCTCTCCTCTGTTAAATTTGGGATTAGAATGGTAAGGTTGTTTTTGACCAGCAAGGACACAACAGCTGATGGCCTTTTTCTGTGCAGTAGATCTCTGACTTTAAATTTCTCACTCAAAGGTTTGGATGTTTGCTGAGTGATGAATTCTGTCGTGGTTGCAGTATAACTATGATTGGGGTTGAAGTTAACTGAACCCATGGTTTGTGGGCGTTTAAGGGGATGGGATATGGAAATCGTAAATCACACTGTACGCATCTAACTAGTAAATCACTGTTGAGCTGGTTGGCTGATTGGTAACAATTTCCCAGGTTTGAACACCCTAGATGCCACTCTGAGTGTTGCCACCAACCTATCAATATGGGAGTGACCACAGGCAGATTTAGATACAGATAGAATGAATACATCAATGGTCTTTTTTTTAAAAAAAAAGGCACATGTGAAAATCCTAAACCATAATAGTGGAAGAAGCTGGAGGTAGCTGTTTTATCTGTTAAAAACTGAATATCTGCAGTTCAGTGCAATGTGCTTTCCACAATGTCCATTCTAAGAAAAGGGTATTATAGAACACTATCGTCTGATGCACCAAATTGCTTTGATCAGACACAGCCCAAAATCTTGCCAAGTGTTTGGTTGCATAATTTGTCTTCAGAGGTTAGTGAACTTTGTGTAGGTTGTGACTTACTGTTATTGGGTGGAAGGAGGGATGGTTTTGTAAGCATTCCTTTCAGCTTTGGGTCTTGAGCTCAAATACAGTTTGGACTGGCTAGCCTCATCCATCTAGCAATAAAGATCCTGTATCAAATAAATTTGCGTAGTCTAAGTCTGCTTTCCGACCCTAGTTGGGCAGTCATGTTTCAAGGTGTCACAAAATGGCAGCTAACATTGGGAGTAGTTCAAAAATGGAACATTGGACTAGGATATCGCTGTTGTAAGCTTGAGGTGGAGGAAATCTGTTGTATAGTGTAAAGGGAGCTTTTAACATGCATCTCTCTGTGTCATTTATGACCAGGGAGTGTCTGAAGTGGAAAGTGTTTAATTCTGAAGCAGTAGCATCAATCACCTCAGTAAATCTAAAATGCACAAAATCAATTTATTAAAGGTACTTGTAGTGCTAATGTTGGGAAGATGTATTATGTCAGTACCATTGTGACTAGGATTTTAATTTGTAGCTAGAGCCATTTCAAAGATAGTCCTATAATTTGTAGTTACGTTTACAGCTGGTGACCGGCATTCAGTTGTAGTGTTAGTGGGAAAGCCTACAGCAGCAGATGGTGCAATCTGTAAGCAAAGATACTTTGTTATGATGGCTAAGCACTAATACTGCAGAAATAAAAGTCAACTGTGAAGAAAAAAACAGGTGTCTAAAATGATTACAACGGTTATTACTATGTTGATCTAAAATGTGAGCTGATTGCCTAAATTTGTAAATGAAGTTGGTCAGGACTTTAACTGTCATTTAAAAGAATATTGACAGCAAAACAAACATTAAAGGTTGCATTTACACTGGAGCTGTCAGGTAATTGAATTATAGTGATATCAAAGGCCCAGGATACATTTCATCAAGGTCAGACCTGACATTGTAGAATAGGGTTTGGTCTTGCATAGCTTTGGTTGGGACCATATTGAAGGAAGTAGTGTGTTCACTTGGGGCTCCCTGGTTAAATGGTTAGACATTTTGGATATTGCAGTCCTGTATTTAGGTTTTGAGCACTGGTTGGCGATGGAAGGCTGTTCTGCCTGTACGTTTAACCACTGATGTATGGAAGGATTGTTCTTCTAAACGCTGCCTGTTTGGAACTAACACCACAACTATTAGCCAGAGAGTTGTAGCTGTAATATAACTGTATTGTCAAAGCATGCAAAACTGCACAAGCACTTCATTGATGGTTTAGCAAGTCAGAATTTGCTAGGATGATTAAATGCGCTTACAGTTTAACAGGAGTTATATTGGTGTGAAGCCTGGTCCTTGTGTGTAGCAGTAACTGGAAAGTTAAGTGGATATAATGCTGTTTGCTTTATGTCTACTGAATGCAAGCAAGGGGGGGAGGAGAGAGAGAAAAATTAAAATCTGCTCAGATTGTTGATTCCAAGGAGAGTTCAGAAACTGTCCACATATCTGACAATGTTGCTCCCCCTAAGCATGCTAGTCAGCCTTCAAAATACATGGGGTTAGTGGGTGAATCTGTCCCAAAGTCTCCCTAAATCACCCAGGAACTTTGCTCAAAGGATGACTACTCAGAAAAGTCACCCAGTCATCAATAGAATGGAAGGAACCAGTGCAGAGCTCTGCTCCAATCACACGGGGGTTTCTTCCTGAGCTTGTAGTGAGAGATTCACAAAAGGAGCAACCTGTGATTGGAGAAGCAACGAGCCGGGTAAGCATGTATGGGTGTTGAAGGAATTGCAAGGGTTTTGCCTGCCAGACATTGAGGCAAGGAGGCTGAGAGTCCGGGTTGAAGACTGGAGGTCAGGAGCTAGCCACTGTTTTTCTGAATTTATATGAGGGGGCGTCATATTTTCCAAAATGTGGCTATCTGCCTGCAGGTCAGGGAGACTGGGTGAGGGGAAATATTTGCTAGAAGCTGAGGAGAATGCAAAGAGGGTGGGGAGACTGCGGGGATGATGTTGGGATGGGGCAATGGGTAGCTTAGAGAGTGACTGGCTGTAAGGGGAGGTTGAGAGAGGCTGCATGGGAGGAAGCAAAAGGGATGCTGCAAGGGAAGAGGGAGTTGGACTGCATATGGTGGGGCTAGAGAGAAAAGGTGGCTGGAGAGAGATAGAGCCTGCATGGGGAAGAGAGGGAGAGGCTACAGAGGAGATCACAAACAGAAGGAAGCATCCACAGAGTAGGAGAGAGGGGGATGCTTTGATGGAATGAAAGAGAGAAGCGAGGCTGCAAGGGGCTGGGAAACTGGAGGGAGGATGCATTGGGAGGAGGAGATGATATCACTTATTAGAAAGAAGAATTGGTTGCTAACTTATTTTTAATATCTTGTGCCAATATAAATACTGTGTGGAGAAATTAATGTTTTCCTTGTGTGTTGTGACTTTAACTTCAATGGGCAGTAGCTAATTATTGATGAATTCTTCTAATTCTGTTTCTGAGAGTCCAAGTACCCAAAACAAGTACAGAAGATACTGTTACTACTTGAGAGCTTCACTTCATAAATGAGTTAGTGAAAATGAAGAAAGAGGCCCTGAAAATCAAAAGGGTAGCCCTTGAGGAAATCTCAAGCAGAGCCCTTGGAAAATTTAAAAAAAATTGCTTTGTGCCTTGTTCTCTGTTACGAGTACAGCGGCTTTATTTGTAACATGTTCAAAAGTGCATATAATTTATTGAACGCTGTCATTGTTTTCATACTTTAATTTTGGCACTTAAAATTGAATTGCAATGATATATTGTTAACAGACCAAACAACAAAGCCTGAAGACTCGGCATTTACCAAAGCCAAGACAAGGTAATGATGGGCTGAAAATGAGGGCATCTGTCCGTATGACACGATATTTGGAGTCATGGGGTGCAGCGAAACCTTTTGCACATTTTCAGCAACGGGAAAGTGTGAGCAGTGAAATGTCAGCACCCAATGGAAAGATCAGGAAGGTAAGTGGTTGGAATATGCTGTAGATAAAAGCGGTCTATGCACGTTTTGCTTTCGAAATTGATGAATACATTCTCAAATTTTTATTTCTCTTTCCTGTCCAGGAAATTCCCATGCATTCTCTCCGACTTCATCGAACATTAGATAGGTGGGTTTTCATTCAGCTGCAGAGCTACAGCATTGTGTACAGGTTAAGTGCTGCATGCTTCCATCCAGTTGTAATTTAAAAGCCCTCGGGCAAGGTAACGTTGCTTTGCTTTTCAGCAAAAGTTGTCAATTAATCCCCAATTTTGTACTGTCTTTATTTTGGCTTGAAGCTGTTGGCTCATGCTAGGGCATGATTTCTTAAACTGAGAGCTGAGATGGTTATTATTGGCCGTTTATTTAACCTCAAACTGCATTCCAGCCAAGCCGGACCTGATAGGAGCAATCTTGCACTTCCGGCTTCATCTGTGATGATAGAATAGTGAAAGTGGGAACAATTACATAATTTGTGTTCCCAACTCCAAGGGCAGTGTGCAATCTTCATCGCTTTGTATCACACCAAAATCTGCCGTTTCCCTATTAAAAATGTTAATGTTAAAATTCCTAAGATTTACATCACGATTTCATGAGGTGTGATCGATCTTGTATACCAAAAATATGTCCGTTTCATCCCTGCTGTGTACAGAGTTATCTGATCACAGGGGGGCAATGATGATTTTGCAGTCATTGGCGAACATGCAGCTCCCACTTTTCATTACGTATACACTTGCCTGCAGACTTTCTTTGGGCGTTTGTACTGGATTTTTCAGTGATTGTATGTTCAAAATTAATGTGGTCCCTTCACTGGGATGTTGGGAACCTGGGTGCAGGCCAAACAACAGTGTATCTCCTTAATCAGTCACTGTGAGGAATCTTTACTGAGAGACAGTGAGATGAATGTCCATGTCCCATGGGTGCAAGTTGAGAAAATAACCCATTGGTTCACCTCCCTGTGGTGTTCCCGCCTCCAAGTGATCTTGCCAGAGCTGGGGTCTAGAGGACAATTAAGTGGTCACCTCAGCAGTTGGTGATGCCTCTGTGTTCTTGCCTTAGTTGGACGGTTCCTTCACCCTCCCCCCGCCCCATTTCTCTCCTCGGCTGAGTTTGACAGAGGCCTCCTGCCAATAAGATGAGGCCAATAATGCTTCATGTGACTTCCACGCTCTGAGTCACGAGGATCAGAAAGCTACAAGCTATCCTGTGGCTTGGTTCCTCCAGACCTTGCTGAATTGTTCAGTGGGGCACCCTGTGTCCACCTGTTATCTTTGCATTTTTGCATTTTGCCCACTGGCTGACTGTGTTAATTAAACCGAAGTTCAATAATATTTGCTCTCCATTTACTGTTGCCCAGCACAATGAGATAAATGCATTTCATTTGTGCATTCAATTAGATATGCATACTGCTCCCTCTATAGTCAGAAGAATACATTGGTAGCAAAACAGTGAGATAGCAAATCTTAGCTGAGCTATGTTGCTGCCAGGCAGGTAAGACCTAATAGAAGCAAGAAATTTGAGGTTTCAGTTATAAAGCTTGTGCTCAGAACTGAAATGTTATGAAAGAACAACATTTCGGAAAGAACAGACAAGGGAAAACAGGCACATATGCATCTTCCCATGTACGCACATATCCATATTCTCTCACGTTTAAGGCTTTAGGACTTTTGAATATGCAAAATAAGGACTTATTTGCTTTTTAAAATTAGTCAGCAATGAGGAGGGGAAGCATTTGGCTTGTCTTGCTCATGAGACCTCAGTAACTCCTGAACCATCAATAAAAGGTTAGTTATGAAATTTTTTTTTCAGCAATGACCAACTGATATGGAGCCAAGAGGAACAGCAGTGCTTTCATGCTCCACAGCATTGCTATTGGCTCTTCTGCATAGCTTGCTCCAACCCTCCAGCAGGCTAGCACTGGACAGTGTCGCATTGGCTGAGGTTACCGTGAAGGACACTCCTCCTCAATCTCTCGCCTGAGACATGTTGACCCTCATAATAAACCACGACCAGTTGTCTCTCTCTAATGAGAGATAAGCCTTATGACCCTCTGGGAGTATAGTGGCTTTACCTTTACATTGTAGTTTTCTCCTGTGTTATTTGTTTTCCCAGTATTTTATGCTTCTACACATACAATTCACCTACGTTATCTTTCAGTTCTGAGAAAAGGTTTTATAATTGGCAAGTCAACTAGTAATTTCTTGATGGTTCTACCCAATCTGTTGAGTACCTGCAGCCTTTTACTCTCCATGGTTAAATAATTTGATTAGTTCAGTAGTTATTGGAGCTTCAGTGCAATTTATCTGCCCTCCTCTTGCTAAAACAATACAATGGTGCTGCTGCCAAACCTTAGTGCTATGCTAACACCACCAACATTTCGCATGAGTCTTGTACCATCAGCAGTATCGCCAGAGTAAGCTATTCAGATTCACTGAATTCACAGCTGAGGACAGCTATCTTACTGGGTCTGTCCAATAATCAATCCAGTTGACCATAGTTGGTTTGCTTTGATGTTGCTGCTTATGTGACATTGCTTGTTGGGATCCAAAATTATAAAGCATTATTTAACACCACCTTTTAAAAATATGTTTCCAGAATGGTTCTGGAATCCTTATGTTTATTTTCTTTCAGTTGATCAATTTCTGACATTTGCTTTCTGTACATAAGTACGTCTAGTTCTTGCATTGCACCAATTGCTTTGGTAAAGCACTCGTTTTCAGGCTACTTCAATTGCATCTTTGTTTTAATTGCTTTATTACTTGTTATAACTTTTATCAGTATGAAATATAGTCTATTAACAGGATTTTTTAAAAAATGATTTAATAACATCTAACAAAGTGATGAAAATGGCCAGTTGTTATAGTTGGCTAACAATTAGTAGCAATCTTTGCTTTTGAGTCATAAGATCCCAGGCTCAGATTCACTCAAGCACTTGAGGATAAAAGATGAGACTGACATTCTGATACTGGGCTGTTGGAGATGCTGTCTTTCAGATGAAGTATTAAACTGTGAATGTGAAAGATCCCGTGGCACTGTTTTGAAGATGAACAGGAGATTTATTCTGTGTCCTGACCAATATTTATCCCTCAATCAGCATCACAAGAGTACAGGTTACTTGGTCATTATCAGATTGTTGCTTGTCTGAATTTGCTTTGTGCAGAATTGGCTGCCGCACATTCTACATCGTAGGAAGTAACATGTCAAAGCCCTTCAATGGCTACAAAGTGTTCTGTGATGTCGTTTGACCACGAAAAGCACTGCATAATTGAAAGAATGAATTTCTTGCTAGTGAATGAGATTTTACACTAACTGATACTGCTACACAAGCTTGATCTGTCTGGTTTTATCTTGCATAGCTTATTTTGAGAATATTTGTGACTTTCATCAGTGTACATGAATATATTATCTAATGCCAAATCAGTTCTCTTAATGCACTTTTTTAAAATTGGAAGTTATTTCATTTTTTAAATTCTTTTGTCATAACTGGTGGTAAAGAGGAGGCTTTTAGAAGTGTGATATCAAGAGTCCAGGGTGAAGGGAAAAGCTGGCAGGTTTAGGAATCCCTGGCTGATGAGGGATATTGAGCCTTTGATCAGGAAAAAGAAGGTGGTAAACTTTGGGTTTAAGCTATCGGACTCGAGCGAATCCCTAGGTGACTATAAAAAATGTAGGAGCATACTTAAGAGGGAAATCATAAGAGCAAAAAGAGAGTATGAGATGGATCTGGCAGATAAGGTTAAAGATAATCCCAAGAGTTTCTATAGCTATATTAAGAGTAACAGAGTGGTTAGGGAGAGAATAGGTCCATTAAAGAACTGCATGGCCGTCTTTGTGTGGTGCCACGGGAGATGGGGGAGATTTTTAATGAACATTTCTCCTCGATGTTTACTGAGGAGAGAATCATGGATGCTAAGGAAATGAGGGAAACAGATAGAGATGTTTTGGACCACAGACACATGACCAGAGAGGAGGTGTTTGCAGCCTTAAATCGCATTAAGGTGGATAAATCCCCTGGGCTTGCTCAAGTCCATCTTTGGATGTTGTGGGAGACTGGAGCAGAAATTGCAGAGGCCCTTGCAGAGATTCTTGCTTCATCTTTAGCCACTGGTGAGGTTCCAGCAGACTGGAGGGTGGCTAATGTTTAAGAAAGGTAGCAGAGACAAGCCAGGGAACTACAGGCCAGTGATCCTGACATCAATAGGCAGAAAGAACACAGCAAGCCAGGCAATACCCAAAACATTGACTGCTCCTTTCCTTCAGATGCTGCCTGGCTTGCTGTGTTCTTCCAGCATCTGTGTTTTCTTTTTTTGGCCTGACATCAGTGGTAGGCAAGTTATTGGAGGGGATACTGAGGGACAGGAGCAACCAACATTTGGATAGTCAAGCTCAGATTAGGGATAGTCAGCATGGATTTGTGCGCGGGAAGTCATGTCTGACAAATCTTTTAGTTTTTTGAAGAGGGAAACAAGGGGAGAGATGAGGGTAGGGCAGTGGGTATTGTCTATATGGACTTTAATGAGGCCTTAGACAAGGTCCTGCATGGCAGGCTAGATATGAAGGTTAGGTCGCATGGGATCCAGGGAGAGCTAGCTAATTGGATTCAAAATTGGCTCGATGGTAGGAAGCAGAGGGTGATGTTTGAAGGTGTTTCTCAGACTGGAGGCCTGTGACTAGTGGTGTGCCACCGGGGTCAGTGCTGGGACCTTTGTTATTTGTTATTTACATAAATGATCTGGATGTGAATGTACAAAGCATGATTAGTAAGTTTGCAGATGATACAAAATTAGGAGGTACCGTTAATAGCGAAGAAGGTTATCAAAAATTATAGTGGGATCTTAATCAGATGGGGAAGTGGGCTGAGGATTGGCGAATGCAATTCAATACAGATAGGTGTGCGGTGTTGCACTTTGGAAAGTCAAATCAAGGTCGGACTTATACAGTAAATGGTAAGGTCCTGAGGAGTGTTGTGGAACAGAGGGACCTAGGAGTACAACAACATAGTTTGTTGAAAGCAGTGTCACAGATAGACAAGGTGGTGAAGAAGGCATTTAACATGCCGGCCTTCGTTGGTCGAGGCGTTGAGTTTAGGAGTTGGGTCATTATGTTACAGTTATATGAGTCCATCGGTGAAGCTGCACTTGGAGTACTATGTACAGTTTTGGCCACCCTGTTATAGGAAAGACGAAGTAAACTGGAAAATGCGAAGAAGATCTATATGGATGTTGCCAGGGCTAGCTGGCCTGAGTTGTAGGGAGAGGTTGGCCAGGATAGGACTTTATTCCCTGTAATGTAGGAGAATGAGGGGTGACCTTTATTGAGGTGTATAAAATAATGAGGAGCATAGATAGGATGAATACATGTAGTCTTTTTCTCAGGGATGGGGAATTGAAAATGAGTGGGCATAGGTGTAAGGTGAGAGGGGAAAGATTTAAGAAGGACCTGAGGGGCAACTTCGTCACACAGAGAGTGGTATGTACATGGAATAGGCTACCAGAGAAAGTGGTTGAGGCAGGTACAATAGCAACATCTAAACAAAAAAATGTGGATAGTTTACTGGATGAGAGGGATATGGACCAAATGCGGGCAATTAGAACTAGCTGAGTGGGCACCATGGTCAGCGTAGACCAGTTTGGGCCGACGGGCCTGTTTCCATGCATTATTACTCTATAATTCTAAGTGGCTAAGCTGACTGAAAGATCTTCGCACAAATAGTTCTCCTGTAGTTCAAAAAACTGAGTGTAGACCTTACATATATGATGCAGGGCCTTGCATGCTTGTGAGAAATTGGGTACTGTCAGGTTGTAGCTATGATGTACTGTATCTAGTAACTCCATTTAACTCTCTAGAAACAAATCTCAAAAAAGAAGATTTGAAGAGGAACTGCATGATAAAATGATAACAACAATTGATGGGATAAATTCATACAGGTATGTAACATTTAAATTTTCTCTCTTTTTGACAATGCATTTTAGTAACCATTAGGGTATTGAGACGCTTGTAAGTAGCCACTTGAATGTAAAGGGTATTCCAGAGTGAGACAAACATCCTATTTTATTTTGAAAGCTTTACAATAAAATGCTCTTCCTTGTATTGTTTGTACAGTCTCAGTTTTACATAGTTTGAAAATTGATTGCATGGTGCAGTAAAGTCACTGTGGCCCCAGACAACCATAGGATTGCTGTCTCATTAGAGAAAGAAAGAGAGAGAGAGCGAGACAACTGGCAGTAAGTTTTATCTGAGGGTCACCATGCCTTGAGGCAATATTGAGAAGGTGGGGCGTTTGCAGTAACCTAGCCGGTGTAGTAAGTGAACCTATGCTGTTAGCGTCACTCTGCATTTCCAGCCAACTGAGCTAACCAACACTACAAACACCAGGAAGGATCACATTTCAAATTCCAGGTAGATGCTGTTGTTGATTTTGGAAATGAATTATTTCAACAAATCTGGGAGTGAAAACCAGAAAGGCAAATATTATCATGTCTTCTAGGCAATATGCACAATTGTCTCAGGACTTTGAGCTCAAAGTAGAATCAAACTTCGTTGAAATGCCATGGTGATAAGCCCATACTATCATTTATCAGGGCTCACACCTGAAGAATTACCATTTGGTGAAGAAGCAATGGTGTTACTTTCCACAATTAATAGAAGTTTTGATGGGAATTAAATTGCAGAAAGATAAGCACAGCTTGAGAGCAATGTCAGAGTCACTTTTTTAAAAAAAAAGCATTCCTTTCCAAGAGCACTCTTGTCACAACATGGCAATAGGCAATGGGCCATATGACAGAAAATTGAGGATAAACTGTTAACAAGCTGTCAAGACTGTCTAGATACAAGTTAGAGTACAGAAGAATAATTTTAAAGAGGAGAAATAAAGGTCAAAATACCTTGACAATTTTGAGAAGGGAAGAGAATTTGTTCATTCATTGCAAAAAAAAAACTGATCTGCAGAAGTGCATAGGGCATGGTCACTTGATATTTTAGATGTGATTCAAAGTACTGTGATGAAATGTATATGATACATATGAGGATCATATTTTAGAAGAATTTAGAATTTAAACCAATGGCATGGGAGGGTTTACTTTTATGAAGTTGTTTAAAAATTAAATAGATCAGTCTTTCAGGAGCAATTATGTTGAACCAGAATGTATCTCCTATGGTGTTAATGGAAGTTTGTTTATACATGGGGCTGAGAAAACATTGAATGAAATTAGCTTTTGGGTTTAGAATTATCAAGGATTGATTTTAACTTAGAAACACCTAGAGATTGAAAAGCTTTTGGGTCAGTTCAAAGGAGAGCTGTCTGAAGTCAGATACAAGAATACTTTCGTCAGGAAAAGTAAATTGTTCCGAGCAATTAAGGGAATAAACTATCTTGGGGAGCGAGTTTAGTTTGTGAAACTTTCAGGCTCAGAGTGTTTGGTCAGAGCTTTGTGGATTATTAAAAGTCTAGGGATACTTAAAATCTCAGTTGTGTGAATATTCCAGGGAAAAGGCTTCACAGCTCACAGGAAACTGAGAAAATCAATTAAGGCAAGTCTATAGATTGGATAGGGAAGAAATTTCTGTGGATTTTGATTAATTTTAAAGTGGTGGTGTTGGCAAGTAGGTAGGATTTTGTTTAACCATGTGATTTGAAATCTTCAAACTGCTACATTTAGCTTGATTTGGTTTATTTTTTATAACTGCTTTGTAATAAATCTCTGTTTTGTTGTTGAAATAATCCTAAGCCTTTTTGTGCTTGTATTTCAGTGAAAGTCTGCTGCAAAAAAAATCTATCAAGCCAGATTTCATTTTAGTATTTGACTTGTCCAGTAGCAACATTAGCTGGGGGAATCATAACCATACTATTGTCCTGTGAACTATCCCAAATGGAATAATAGAGTTTTTTTTTTAAACTAAACACAAAATCAAAGGTTCAGAGGAAGAAGATGGAAATATGGATCAAAGATGTGGTATTATTATTGATAATACAAAGTTTCAGACCACTGGGGAGTCTATTGATGGCAGAATCTTTCTGTTGTGCAGTCTCAGACAGCACATAAGTGTCTACACTTTGTGGAATAGACTTGTCAAAATGCTACCTAGAATCTGAGTGGAAATAAAGCGAATAAAATTACATAATTTCAGAGTTCCACCAGTATTCAGCTGGGAGATGATAACACATTGAAATCTTTAAAACAGGTAGCGATTCATATAAAATAACCATAATCAATCATTTTATTTGCATAGATGTAGTACCCAATGAAATAACAGTGTAATCAAGTTGATCATCAATGAAGAAAATGCAGATGAAGCTCTATGGGAAATGACAAAGCTATTGTGGTTGGAAAATGTGTGAAATTATAATTTACTCAATTGTGGCCCAACTGTTTTTCTTTAATGGAATGTAACAATTCTTTAATGGACAGGTTATCAACATCAGAGGGTAGAAATTTAGAAGACAGAAGCCAAAAAAGCAACTTGCGCATCTGTCCTCCAAAACATTAAAACGATTAGCAAAGATTGCAGGAATAAGGGATGAAGAATGCAATAAGCTTAGAGAAGAGATAAGTGATAAATGTAGGATTTGTAAGAAATACCAAACGACCCTCTCACAGCCTGTTATAAGTTTGCGTTTAGCCAGGATTTCAACAAGGTAAAGGTTATGGGTTTATAGGCGTGGAACAAAGGAAAAAACATCTTCGTCTTACAATTTAGATTACACAGTGTGGAGCTGGAGGAACACAGCAGGCCAGGCAGCATCAGAGGAAGAGGAAAGCCGACGTTTCGGGTCAGGACCCTTCTTCAGAAAAGTCCCGACCCAAAACGTCAGCTTTCCTGCTCCTCTGATGCTGCTTGGTCTGCTGTGTTCATCCAGCTCTACGCCTTGTTATCTCAGATTCTCCAGCATCTGCAGTTCCTACTATCTCTGAAATAATTCAGTCAAAAGTATTTCAAAGTAAACGCAAGAAAATAATTGTGAATGAGGTGAACTAACAGTGGACAGGGACTGGGCATGGAACACTGACAGAATTTCTCAATTGCTAATAATGTACTTAGAGACATGAGTGGAAATGTGAACATGATAGTTATGAATATTGCAGGAGAAGGCACTTTTGCCAACAGAGTATGTGAACCTGTTAGACAGCTCAAATGTAAAGGACTGCACTAGCAAGGGCTGTCCTTGCTAAGAATTTGCTGCAAATGGTCGGAGAATCTAATCCATAATCAGTTAGTTTTGCGTAGAAACCATCCGTAATAAGTGATGAGCCACCAGCTTGGTAAGGGACCGCAATTATCTTTCCTGTTCCAGGACGTTTCAATGTACAGCATGCAAGCAGAAATGCCTTCATTAAAGCCTGAGGAAGGGTCACTCGACCTGAAATGTTAACTCTGGTTTCTCTCCACAGATGCTGCCAGACCTGCTGAGCTTTTCCAGCAATTTCTGTATTTATGTTGCCATCTATTATGTTTGGCTTATGCATGCAACGTTTTTCCTTTCACAGGCAGTGGGTAAAATGTGATGTCTTTTCTCGTATGTTGCTGTCTTTCCGTGAAAAAGGATTAGAAAAACAAGTAAGTATTCTAATATATATACATACACCCTGAGAAATCCATGTCTTCCTAAAATCTATCTCATGCTAGCAATTGGCTTTGTTTCAGTTTATGCACTGTGGCACTGCAAAGTAAAAGTGAGATTGAAACTAGCATCAGGCTTGATTTTATTCTGTAACATTACCACAAAGCCAAAAAAAAAATTGATGTTGCAGAAAATCATTACTTGAAACACTTTCTCAGTGCTCATGGTTATTCTTTCATTCATTGCTCCATCCTATTCACAGAAAGCATGTTCTCACTTCACTGTGAAAGCCAGTATACTCTGTAGTAAACATAATTTTTATAGAATCTATGAAGCACTGTATGCACTGTTTTACTCAAGTTCATTGTAATTCTTAGGGAAACAGGATTATCTAAGATTTAAATGGAGATGCATGAAAATAGAGGACACTTAGGTAACAAAATAACATTCAATGAAAGCGGATCCTTTCAGAATTAAGGGATTCCGAAAGTTTGACAAGAAGTTTTGAACTTGAATGAGAACTATTTTGTACAAATACAGCTCAAATCCTGTTTATTCTTTGAGCTCTCTTTGCAAATCCTTCGACATTGCTACATCTTACCTGTAAAAAGCCTTCTCTAGAACTGTGCTTTTCAATCACTCCTTAGATCATCCTTTCTGATGACATATTCTCACAGCTGATTTCTTAACTTACGATCCATTGGAGAAATCCCTGTTTCCAAGTGCAATGTGGAAATTGTTGTGAAATGACTCCCCTTTGATTCAGTATGTTCACCAAAAAGGAAGTATAATTTCCTGCAAAGGCTCCTTTTTCTCTTCCAGTATCGTTCAGTCTGTCTTCCTTCCTTGAAGTATTATGTTGGTTGTGCCAATCTGATATTCATTTGCATCTTTGTGATCCAAATACTTGTAATGCCATGGTAAGTACTGCGTCTGTGAATTTTAATCATTTTTAAATGTAAAATATTTTGTTATTTGACTGCGCCTCCAACCAAGTATGTTTTTCTCAATAGCAAACTTCTACTGGGAATATCATTTGGAATTGCTGCAATTATTCTTCTGATAATTCTCTTCATTTGTTTTGCTGCTCATCTAAAGGTGAGTTAAATAAAAGCATTGTTTATTTCTTATCTAAATTTCAGGCTACTAAATTTCTCATTCTTGTTTCTTTATAGCTTTAGTTTAAAATCTTTTAACACTATATGCAGTACTGACACCTGGTCAGTTCTATATATCTGCTGCCCTACAAATTATAGACTGAATTTTACAAGGGCTGCAGTGGGTTCCCTTCTAATTCCCGGGACTAGGCCAGATTGGCCGTTTGTCGGGGGAGTGGAAGGTAGTGGGCTACTCACCTCTCGTACTGTGTTTGTCACCACCCTGTTGAAAACATGGCCTGTGGTGAGGAGTGGGGATGTAAAATATCCAACCCTATGACACGGAGAGAGGCTGTTTAGACTGAGTAGCTGCTTCACGGTTTTCTCTCTACAGGAACAAATATTTCTAATTTGTCAAGTCCCTTTGTATTTTTTCATTGGAACCTCAAAGTGATTCTGCATTGGACCTTCTCAAATAGTGCGGAGCCCGATATTACAAACTGTAATATACCTAAAGTCTGATCAAGATTTTATGTTGGCTTATCATTACTGCCTGATTTTGATACTTTGAGTTTTATCATAAAACTACAAACTCCTTTTGGGCTTTTATGGCCTTGTGTGAAAGAATCAATATGGATCTGTAATTATACGATGAACAGGCGATTAGGGTGAGTCAGCTCCCTACTTTTCAGTGTCCTTGGTTAGCTACAAAAAATGTTTATTTTTAGCATGAGGCTGTACGTCTCTCTGATTGAAAAGCAGTTAGCTAATTTCTGCTATAGCCAATTACAAGGTTTTCTTGAATGAAAGCATGAGTACTTTTATTATGTGCTTACCCCAAGACAAACAACAAAAGCATGTTATCAAACATGCACACAAGAACAAAGCTAAAATGTCCAAAGGGAAAATGAAAGGAATATACAGTTTAGTTTCCTTAGGGTGTCCTTGAGGTGATGAGTATTAACTTGAAACCCTGGTTATTTATTTGGTTTTTTGAATCATCAACAGTAGCAAATATTACAGCCATCCTTTGAGTTCTTGATGTTATGATATTTCTTTTTAATTTGTCTTATCACCAGTTTTCTTTTCTTCTTGAGAGACACAAAGAGTTTCCCAGCCTTTCGAGTCTGTATCCTCAGTTTCTTTCCTTTCTTTGCTCAGACACCAACTTGTTTGCATTTTCCCATATGAGTTCATTTGCCTCCAAGTTTGATAATTGCAGATATTGTTTTCTTCTCCAACTTGTGAATACTCTCATCAATTTGGATAATAAAAATATGGGTCTTTTTTTGCATTTGCCTCTGGTGGGGACTGACTGGTTTCCTTGTCTTTGGTTAAAAAATGTTTATTTGAGCTGAGCTGGTTTGTTGTCTAAGATATGTTGAAACTTGGACCTGTTATGATCAGGTCATGCCTGTCACCATTTTAGGGCAATGTTTTTAGTACCTTTTTAAATACTACTTCAATTCATAACAGTTGATATTAAATTGTAATTTAGATCATATTTTACATCACCCTAACAACCATCAGCACAGTTCCCTCATTTTCTTAAAGCCTGGAGCACAATTTTTACTCATTTTAACCAGGATTCGTTCGTATATTTCCCCAAATATAAACTTGGAGAAATTAATGTCCCTAAATGTGATGCTTAAACAATTAAACTCTAGACATATGTTGGAATTACTTTGCCATTAGCTATTTTGATTTTATTATTTGAGTGAAAAGTTTGTATTAGCAATTTCCAAAAGAAAATGTGACAAAGTTTCAACAAACCTCTCTTTTTTTCTATTTTACACACAGTGCTGGGTGAACAGCTCAACATCTAACTTCCTTGTTGCCATTTCTGAAACTGTAACAAAGAAACCAATTGTACGGTTGCCACTGATTCTTATTGTCATAGGTGGTGTGTTGGTCATGGCAATTTTGAACTTGGTGAGTAATTACAATATAACCAGGACAAATATATCCAGATACAAATGAAGTTTGGAGGTCTGCAAACACTGTACAATTACTCAAAGTGTGTAAAAAGAACCCAAATAATTATAGGCCAGTCAGGCTGATCTCGATGCTGGCAAATTACTAGAATTAATATTGAGATGTAGGATTAAGTGTTTCTTGGAGAGGCCTGGATTAATCAGGGATTGTCTGTGTAGGGTTTTTTTAAGTGGGAGGTTGTATCCAACTAACTTGATTAAATCTTTGAGGAAGTAGTAAGGAGGATTGATGAGGGTAGTGTAGTTGGTGTTGTCTACATGGATTTTAGGAACCCATTTATTTGATTAAAATCTCACATGGCAGGGGATACAGGGGAATGTGACAAGCTAAATCCAAAATTAGCTCTGTGACAGGAAATGAAGGGTAAAAGTCGAGGAACATTTTAGTGAATGCTAAGTGGTTTACATTGGTGTTACACAGGGATCAGTTTTAGGATCCTTGCTCTTTGCGATTTTTTTTATTAATGATTTGGACTTAAATGTGGGAAGCATGATTAGGAAATTTGCAGATGACACAAAACTTTGCCGGATAATTGATAATAAAAAGGATGACTGATGACTGCAGGAAGGTACCAATGGCTTGGTTGAATGGGCAGAAAGTGTCAAATGGAATTTAATTCAGAGAAGTACGAGGTTATGCATTTGGGGAGAGCAAACAAAACAAACAAATACAGTATAATTGAGAGGGTATTGAGCATGGTCAAAAATCTTGGAGTACACGATCAAGGGTCCCCACGGTGGCAGGACAGTAGATAAGGTGGTAGAGAAGGCACAGGAGATGCTTTCTCTACCACCTTATCTACCTGTCCTGCCACCTTGAGGACCCTTGGTGGTGTGCTCCAAGATTTTTGACCATGCTCAATACCCTCTCAATTATACTGTATTTGTTTGGGCAAGATATTGAATAGGAGAGTAGGGATGTAATGCTGGAACCATATATAACATGGGTTCGGCCATAATTGGGGTTTTCTGTGCATTTATGATTACATAATTACGGGATATAATTACTCTAGGAAGTGTATAGAGGAGATTTATAAGAATGTTGCTGGGGCTATTAAGAAAACAATGGATATACTGAGGTTGTGTTCATCAGAACAGAGGAGCATGATGGGTGATTTAATTGAGATGGACAAAATGTTGAAGGGCTTGGATGAAGTAGACAGGGAAGACCAGTTTTTCCTAGCAGAGAGATTATGACTGGGAGTTAGAGTTAAGGTGATTGGCAAAAGGATTAGAGGAGACGTGAGGAAAATCTTTTTCACCCAAAGGGTGGTGGGTCTCTGGAATTCACTGTTAAGTTTGGTGGTTGAGGTGGAACCATTTAACTCTTTGAAAGGAACCTTGATCTGCACCTGAAACACTAACTATGAAGATATGGACCAAGTTCTGATAAGTGTGATCAGAATAACTGGCAGAGATATGATTGACTGGCATCTTTTTGAATTGTAACTTTTCTTTGACTCTGTGGTGTAATCTCTGTGGATTATGAAGTTGGCAAAGATTTTCTGTACATGTGGCATTTAAAGTGAAGTAAGGAAAGCGGGAACGAAAATGGGTCACGTTCACAGTAATTGTAATTTTGGCATATTTAATTGTTCTTTTTACACACGTCTGCTTTCTGACAATTTGAGAATGAAATTCTGAAGGGAAAATTTTCTGTTAGAAGCTCGTTTTGTTCTCAGGATGTGGATGATGTTAGTGAGTTGACATTGATGCCAATTGTCTGTCTTGAAAAGGTAGTGGCCTTGGGGATTTCTTGATCTGTTTGGTAACACTTTCACAATAGTTTTAGATAGGAATTCCAAAAATGTTGATGACTGAAGATAAAGGAATGAAAGCAGATATCCAAGATAGGATGTGCTTTGGAGGTGATGGTGCTTACATTATGTTCCTAGAGGTCAGTCCATTTACCAATTAATACCGGCATAAAAGTAGCATCCACTGGAAGGTGTGTTTTAACATTTTTACCCAATCATGGCAATTTTTCACCTCTCTGTATTTGCTTGGGCTATATACTGTGGGTCATTGACAAACCAGTTTCTGGGCTGAACACCAAATTAAAGCTGGAGGTGAATCTGCTGATGTAATCTTATTTTTCAAACTTGAAGTCTGTACCTTTTAGTTTTTCATCCAATTTAAATAAGTCTCAAAAGCTTCAGAGAGCTGTTACATATCATAAAGCCTTGTGTCTCACATACCTAAGGTGTGATGTGGAGGTACTGGTATTGGATTGGGATGGACAAGGTCAGAAATCACATGACACCAACATGCTTATCTGAAATCACAATCTTTCGGAGTCCTGCTCCTTCACCTGACAAAGGAGCAGTGCTTTGAAAGCTTGTGATTTCAAATAAACCTGTTGGACTATAACCTGGTGTCGTGTGACTTCTGACCTTATAAACGATGTGTCAATGTTCTTGGTCTAGTGCAGACAATATGAGCAGAGAACATAGTTATGCCATTGCTGATGGTCCATGGACCGCAAATTTCTCTCCCCAGTTTAAACGATATTTCTGACCATATTTAGGAATGCAGTGTCAGTGAAAACTATGTGCAATATTGAACACAGCTGTTTTCTTTTTAGCACACCCCACAAGGTGACAATGAAACAATGTGCAATGTGACGAGTACTTTAGTGAAAAAGAATGGCTGCCTTCCTGTGAGTAGAGATGGATGTTACTATCTTGATTCTTTCTTGCAAGTAAATTTGCCTCAGCAAGTAGTGTTTTTAAATGATGATGCTAATATTTTTAAAACATCGTTTGTGCTTCACAATAAAGTAATGGCTGCATTAAATAATGTGTGTCAAACACTTCCTGTTGTGAAAAAAATGGTTTCAGCAGTAAGCAGAAAGAGAAAAAGATTGCTGTAGATTAGATTTTATTTCCTGACAATATATTTTTCTCTCAAGCCATTGCATCTTGGAGGGCTGTTGAAGTCAAGATCAAACCTTGAGATGAAGTCATCAAAATACAAAATACAGCCTATGCTATCCTGAAGTAACTCAGTTACCATTCTAAAGTTACACTTTATTGTCTCTACTTGCAGACTCCTTTTTATAAATATTTATATCTACTCAGGAAACAAGGCTTTGACAAAAGAGTTGGACAGGTATTTTGTATGTTTTTGTTAACCGTGAGAAGGTTGAATCTGTCCCTTGGTTTGGGTTGCTTACACAGTTAACATAAAGCTGACTTGAAGTTGTAAAAGCATTAGGAGCATTTTTAATTTTTTATTGTGTGGGGTACTATAGGAAATGGAGATGGCACATACTTTCAAATTGGTGGAAGGTGCATGTGGTGCCCTAATCATAAAAGAATTAAAATAATTATCTGGGAACTATGTGAGTGTGTGTTTAACCTCTGGTGGAGAAACTAAAGTAAAGTATAATGACTAATGATGGCTTAGAACATTTGTTCTTAATGGAGTTTACCCAACAGTGGTTCAAACCTAGTCAATATATTGAAGAAATCACGGAAGTGATTGCTTTTGGAGATCTGATATCTGCACAGATTTCCAAAAAAGAATGTCATGAAGTGTCTTGAGAAGCTGTGTGTCAAATCTAAGACCCGTGGTGTAAAATTGGTCGCTTCCAAAAGTGCAATGCAGGCTTCTGAAGGTAATGGAAAAGGAAATGCTGCACAATGTGAAATAGGCAGCCAATTATTTGCATGCCCCTTTTGGCTTTGCTAGTGGATGCCAGTTTCACACCAGAAGTGTTAAAATTACAGTGTAAGGAGAATTATAAATTAGCTAGTGTACTATAACATATGGATGTATTCTCCATGAAGTCTGCTTGATGATTGGGATCCTCAGGCTCCAGAACTGTTGACCCTCCCCTATTTAAATTTATTAACAATTTGGAGCAGAGCCTAAAAAGCAGGGTTATTAAGTTCACTTCACAATATAATGGGCCAGATTATCTAGCTAATGGTCATGGGAAGCTGGATGAATGGGTGAATATGTGCGTCAGGACTTTGTGGTAGTCTGCATATAAGACTCTCCATGGAAATTGCCAGAGGGCAATTCCCCAGCTTCCTGGGAATCTCCATGGATGTCTCTGAAGTAAAAGTTGGGACAGTTCTGACGTACTTAGTCAGTAATTACCCAGGATATATCAACCTTTAATCTACCCAAATCCAGTTCAATTCTACATTTCTGCACATCCTGACTCTAACTTATAAAAACCTGGCTCTTCTAAATCTAACTTCAACAGAAACGTACAGCATAGCGTCCCTAAAATAATGTTATCAACGACAGTCGATTCAGGCCAAAAGAGGGTCTGGTCCCATTTTATGGCATAGCCGTTGTATGGTAAATGTAAATATCCAGTCTGAAGGTTCAGGAATGGAGGAATGAGTGAGTGGGTGGGTGAGTGAGTGAATGTATAGGTGGGTGAGGTGAAAGAGTGGGAACAGGGCTAGGTACTTGGGAAGTAGTGGTTCGGCAGGCAAGGTGGGTAGGTAGAAGGTTAAGCTCTTAACAGAAAGCTGAATGAATGGGTAATCAGGTCAGGTGGGTAGTCAGGTCAGGTCAAAAGTGAAAACAGATGATGGGAGTGGGGTAAAAGAATCCAGGCATAGTCAGGGTAACAGGGATTAGCCAGGTTGGGCTGGGGGTGGTCATGGTAAACTGCAAAGAGTTGCGTGAGTCAGGAATTGGTGGGGGGGGGGGGGGGTTGGAGGGGAGGAGTAGGCAGGTCTGGTTGGGATGGTGGGCAGAAGGAGATTCAGCTGTGGAGGAGGAGGGTGACCAGGTCAGGGGCTAGTTCAGTGAGGAAAGGAGAGAAGTCATTTTGCTGGGAGTGTAGAAATGCTTAGTTGGAAGGGTCAGGTCAGGAGGGCAGCAAGGTGGGCCAGAGTGTTGTCTGGGAGCTCGGGGGATAGGTCAGGTTGGGTCGGGTGTATAGCTGTATTGTCAGTAGTGGTCAGGTTGAGTTGGATGTGTTATCAGGGGTTTCAGGTCTGAGTCAGGATGGCCTGAGAGATTGTGTCAAGAGTTGTCATGGGATCAGGGGCCTCGTCAGAGGGTCAGCGTCTGTTAGAGATCACGGTCAGTGCTGAAGTTACCGATGAATTATACCGGGTTTTAATCTGTTTGATATATACCCCTGTTCCCACTCTTTCACCTCACCCACCTATACATTCACTCACTCACCCACTCACTCATTCCTCCATTCCTGAACCTTCAGACTGGATATTTACATTTACCATACAACGGCTATGCCATAAAATGGGACCAGACCCTCTTTTGGCCTGAATCGACTGTCGTTGATAACATTATTTTAGGGACGCTATGCTGTACGTTTCTGTTGAAGTTAGATTTAGAAGAGCCAGGTTTTTATAAGTTAGAGTCAGGATGTGCAGAAATGTAGAATTGAACTGGATTTGGGTAGATTAAAGGTGGACCCAAGACTACTCTGTTTTTAAATGTAGCTGCATAAGCAGTTTCCTGTGAGAGTGCAGATTGTAGGCTAAAGATGATGGAAGCAGAGAGAAATGAGAGAGTGACAATTGATCATTCCCAAAAGCTTCAAGTGGAAGGTCAGAAATCAACAACTCATGGGTTGTATTGTATAGCTAGTTCAATATAAAAGGCCATAGTAATGGGGCTGTATATGACTTTGTTGTGTCCTTGTTTGTGTACCTGATTCAATGCCCATAATCTCTTTTTGCCTCAAAACCCACCCCCCTATACCCATCGCAGCAGGAATATTGTCCAGAAAGGGTACACTTAAGATGCTTAAGATCCCTACCTTAAGTGCACTGAATAATGGAGGCAGAATTTGTGTGTTTCAATTCTCAGACCTAGGGGATCTGTCAGGTCTGTGAGGGCATCTGTAATATATAACTGGATGATTAAGGGCAAGGGGTCTGGCAATGGAACTAGGAACAATCATGCATATTGACAAGGCGAGAAAAACTGAGACTGGATGAGGGAGATCAGTGGTATTCTTAACTTTCTGCTCTCTATCTGTGCGAGTAGCTAATTATTGATGCCATCAACAGTAGCAGTATAGAACAAATGCCAGTTATGGAACGGCTACATTGTTATGCTCGTTAATATTCATTTCATTTTGAGCATTATCCAAAATGTATATTAATTATTTCATAAGAAGTTAACAGAGCACAGCTGTTTGCATTCTAATTGTTTTTTAATTTGTTTTTGGCAGTATTATGTATGCTGTTGTATTCTGGGACTCTTCACCTGCTCAGTCTTCCTCAGAGTGAGCTTTGAACTGAAAGCACTCCTATTAATTATTGCCTGTGTGGTTTATAACATCATTTTTCTAAAGACCTATGCTCTTTTGTTTGATGAATACCATATTGATCTGTACAACAGGTAGGATTTTGATATCAGGAAGTACCAATCTGTCAATACATGCATATGCTGTCACTGTAACTATTCCTTAAAATGTTTGCTTTCCCATCGCTGTTTCTGTCCACAGGCAGACAAGCTATCAACTAGTAACAAGTGCTCAGATTGGGTAGAAATATTATTGTGCAGAAATTTTTTTAAGTCTATATAGCACATACATATTTTTATTTTAAAAATACCCAGGTTGAAAGAAAGGATCAAATCCTCCAGTTACATGATGCTGTCTTCTGTTCCCTTCTACTTCTACCTTTCACTAAACATCATTCCTTAGGGACGTGGCTGACTTCCTGTATGAAGATTGTTTTGTGCTTCCTTTAAGTACTGATCAGTATAGATATTACTTGTGCCCAGTATAGAATGGGCTTATTTTGGTGTATCTTTGGGCTAAGCATCAAAACTATGGGAATTGTATAACTCATTGTGGGGACCATTAGCAGTAGCTTGTAAATAATTAGTCTCAGTTATTCCATTAACAAATATATCTGTTCTGTGAATGTTATGCAATTTTTATGTTTACAGTTGTTTTAATTTTTATCTTTGTGTATTCATTACTATTTTATGAATTGCACTGCTATGTACTAATTTATTGGCTGAATTATTGGATTAACCAGTGGTTACGAGTACAGGACTTAGGAGAGGGAACAGGCCATTTGGCCCTTCATGCCTGCTCCACCATCCAGTAGAATTATGTCTAATCTGGTTGTGGTCTAAGCTCCATGTTCCTGCCTGTTCTCCATAAGCCTTGACTCCAAAATCTATCAAAAATCTATCTCATTCAGCCTCGAATAAATTGAAAAACCCAACATCCTGCTGAGGAAGAGAATCCCACACTTCTAACAACATTTTGAGAGAAAAAAACCTTTTCAGGACTGCCTTAAAAAGGGAGACCCTTGGTTCTTAAACTATGTCGCCTTGTTTAAATCTCCCCTCAAAAGGAAGTATTCGTCTGGTATCCACCTTATCCATCCTCTCGATACTATGTCTTTTGATCGGATCATCTCACTTTTCTAAACTCCAATGCATATAGGCCTAACCTTTTTAGCCTCTATTCATAAGAGCTTCATCTTGGGAATGAGTCAAGTGAACCTTCTTTGAACTGCTTACGTATTTTTTCAAATAGGGGGACCAAAAGTGTACACCGTTATTGTATAAAAGAAACTGGGGAGGCTTGTGCCAGCAGCTGACTTCCTGTACTTCAAAGGAAGTTCATTCCCCCAACATAAGGAGGTTCCCGACTTTTGTTCTGTGTCTTTCCCCAGTTAAAACTATTGAAGATTTCCACTATGCTGCGTAGAGAGAAGCAGTTGGAGAGTTTGTGTTTCTAGACAACTATCAATCCTGCCCTCCATATGCACTGCTGCTCACAGTGTAGCCTTATGGTATTGCTGGGGATGTGGGGGAGCTGGATTTCTCACTCCCCACCTTGGTGAGAAGAATGGCAGATGAGAAGCCAACCATCAGATTCATACCATTGAGAAAAACATTAATGATTAAGTTCTCCCCCTTCAGATGATGGGACGGCACGGTGGCTCAGTAGTTAGCACTGTAGCCTCACAGCGCCAGGGACCTGGGTTCGATTCCACCTTTGGGTGACTGTCTGTTGGAGTTTGCACGTTCTCCCTGTGTCTGTGTGGATTTGCTCCGCATGCTCTGCTTTTCTCCCGCAGTCCAAAGATGTGCAGGGTAGATGGATTGACCATGCTAAATTGCCCGTAGTGTTCAGGGAGGTGTAGATTAAGTGGGTCATAGGGGGATGGGTCTGGGTGGGATGCTCTGAGGGTTGGTGTGGACTTGTTGGGCCAAAGGGCCTGTTTCCACACTGTAGGGATTCTATGATTAACAAAAAGTCTCACTGAGGTGCTGAGGGGCCTATCTGCATGCATTTGCATCCCATTACTGCTACAAACTCGCTGGAATTAACTTTGCATTCCTGATTTAAATTCTGCCTAATTAACAAATCCGGGGCTGAATCTTGCCATACTTTGGCAAAGTGTTGATTTCATCAAGCTGTTTGGAAGGTTTCTCTCTGTGAGGTCCAACAAGTTTTCTCATGCTATCATCTCTCATCTCGCCTTATTAACTACCTGGCACGTCCCCCCGTGACCCCTCTCTTGCCTGAAGCTAGGCCGATTCCCCAATTCGCTGTATGCCAGCACCCCTGGTGTCAGTGCCATCTTGGACCCCAGCCATACGCCCAGTCGAGCATTGGTGATATAGAGTTAGCCTTCACCATTAGTGTCATGCCCCAGCAGCTGCAAACTAACCCTGCTCACAGCACATAGGTGGCACCGCTGACACTTCCTTGCACAGGCCACTGCACGTTCCTGCAGGTATGGTTGCTTAAGTGTCAGGCCGCACAACTCTCTGGTACTTTGCCACATCCATCTTATAAGCCTCTTTAAGTCAATGCTGCACTTTGCTGAATGCCCACTGTAGTCCAGCAGCTTATCTGATTGATCAGTGATAAATGTCCATTACAGAAGAGCCTTCAAATGCTTCAAAAGATAGACTTCTTCTTTGTAATCACCAAAGGTGAACAGAAATCAAACAAACAGAAGCTGCATTTGCCTCTCAGAGCGCAAAGCAATTGCTTGAGTATTGAGCATCAATAATCTTGCAGTCAGTGGCATTCTCAGTCTGTGGAGAAATTGGGCCGCCTCATGACGATGCTGTGGCTTTCAAGAGGTTGTTTTTTCCCTGGATTTTTTGACGAGAGATTGTAAGGCAGAGTTGTCTTTAAGAAAGGAAACCGCTTATAAGGCCTTAGGTTTTTTTTAAAAGTTGGAACAATGTCTGGCTGTGGCCAGCTCTCTCAGACCAGGCTTTCTAGTTGATTTTAGTTTTTAGGTTTAACTTTAAGCAGAAGCTATTGGGATCTCAGAAGAGTTGGAAGCTTCAATGAATGTCTCCTAGCTGCTACTTTGTCTGAAGTTTCTCTTGACTTTTTTCCTCTTGGATTAGAGAACTGCATGTTAACATCCATGTCTGAATTTTTCCTTTTTTTTTGCCAAGGGTTGTGTTGATGCGATGTTATTATATTGGAACAGTAAATTAGTAATAGTTGCTGAACCTATTATTCTGTTAAGTTTTCCAGGTAGAGTTGTTATTCTAAATTCCTCTTTCTTTGGTTGTATTTTAACTGCAATGTTTAAATAAATTATGTTTTGCTTAATGTCAAGTAGTTTGACAAGTTGCACTGCATTGGGAACTTTACATTTGCCTTTAAAATAAGAAAAAGCTAGGCTACCTGCTTGAAATATTTTGAGGGGTCCTGGTCTATAACATCTGTCATCTGGAGAGACGAAAGAGCATCAAGGATGAAAGATTATGAACCTCCTGAGTCTCTGACACATCCTGAGAGGGCCTTCAGCTGTGACCTCTTTGTGTGGAGCCTGTTTGGTTTCTGCTGCAGTTTGTTCAACATGCTTGCATATCTTCTCCTCTCCCATTTCTCTGCACTTTCATTACATTGCAGCAACAGTGACGGTCACCCCCTGCTGTGGGTAGATCCATCAGTCACGCTTGAAATGACCCTGTGTGGGGAGCAGAAGAAACAGGAGAGGTCCTTAGCATTGAGAGCAGTCAGCATTCGCTTACCTTACAAATAAACACTTAATGTATTTTCCATGCAGTGGGACATGTCCGTCTTTGGCATAAAGCTCCTTATGTTGACTCCTCTTCTACCCCTCCACCCCAGGCTCACGTTACCTGTCCTAAATCCACAGGGTGACACCAAGGTCAGGTTCAACGCTGTACATGTTTCCTGAAGGGTCATGGTAGAGCATATTAGTGTGATGGAATACTCCCCACTTGCTTGGATGGTTGCAGCTCCAACACCACTCAAGAAACTTGACACTGTCCATGGCAAAATATCCTGCTTGATTAGCACCAGATCCACAAGCATCCACTCCTTCCACGACAGACACTCAATAGCAGTAGTTAGTACTATCTACAGGATGCACTGCAGAAATTCAGTAAAGATCTTTAGACAGCACCTTCCAAACCCAGGATCCCTTCCATCTAGAAGGACAAGGGCAGCCTCCAAGCCACTTATCATCCTAGTTTGGAAATATATCTTTGTTTCTTCACTGTTCAACACCTAAGGGTGTTGTCCAACTACCTACATCACATGGACTACAGCAATTCAAGAAGGCAGCTAGGGACAGGCAATAAAAGTACTGGCCAGGCAGCGATGTCAACATTCCATGATTGAATAAAAAAAAGACCATATGCCTCTTGAAGAGGAGATTCAGACACCTGGGCCAGACGGGAGGTGTAGTGCAGTACACCCCATACACAGTGTACCACATCATAGATGTGAAGTGGGGGAGTGGGAGATCTCCTCTGAGGAAGCTGATGCTGAGATAAGCCAGGAAGGCTGTCGCAGACACCAAGCCAATAGATGGTGCAATGAAGCAGAGAGGCAGGTGAAACCTCATAGACGTCCACTTCTGGGAGACTGTGCTACGTGGACGTGTTCTGTTCTCAATGGACCGAGCCAGCTGGGAGGCAGCTCTATCCTCTCTTCAGCACACCTCCCTGATTACCCCTACCCTCCCTCACCTCTCAGAATGGTGAAGGTTATCTCTCGGGTGTGCTCTGCCTTCCTTGTCCAGAGGGTGCCTGCTATATAGACCCCAGGCAAGGAAAAGACCCTTGGCTTCTACAGTTATGTGGTCCAGGCCCCTCATCCTGCTGGTGAACTGAAGGCACAGAGTGTGAGCTCCTGGATGCTCCCTCTGCAGCTTTGACTGATCTGCTCAAATGGCAGGTCCAGGGTTACGAGAGGGAGTATGGGCACATGCAGTGCTGATGGAGTGAGACAGTCAGTGGCATTCCAAGAGATGGGCATCATCTCCTTTGTTACAGGGAAGATGCCCTCTGCTTTCACCTCACACAGCCATGAAGATTCCAAGAAGGGAAATGAGATGGCAGTGAACATGAAGATATATTTGTGTGTTACATTTCTATCTATAATGAAGCATTTTTATATTGTGACACTGAGATGCCTTCAGTAGGATTTCTTCTTCCTTTGACTACAACTACATCTAGGTGACGGCTGATATATACAGGTCATGGAGGAACCTGCTTACTGGTAGACCCTGTTTTTTGTAAAAAAAGTACTGATGGGTCATGTGTGTCATTGACCAGGCCAGCATTATTTGCCTTTGAGAAGGTGGTGGTGAGCTGCCATCTTTTACTTGCTGCAGTCCATTTGGTGTCGGTAAAACCACAGTTCTGTTAGAGAGGGAATGCCAGGATTTTGACTCAGTGACGGTGAAGGAACTGCAATATATTTCCAAGTCCCCAAGATGGTGTGTGGCTTGGAGGGGAACTTGCAGGAGGTAGTGTTCCCACAAATCTGCTGCCCTTGATTTTCTGGGTGGTAGAGGTTGTGGCATTTCAAGGTGTTGTCAAATGAGCCTCAGTGAGTTGCTGTAGTGCATCTTGTAGATTCCACACTTGCTGCCAGTGTGTGTCAGTGATGGAGAGAGTGGATGTCGCATGTATTAGATGTGGTGCTCAGATGGTGCTGGCTTTCTTGGATGTTGTTGGAGCTGCATTTATCCAGGCAAGTGGGGAGTTTTCCATCATGAATCTGCCCAATGCATTGTAGACAGTGGAAAGGGTTTGAGGAGTCAGGAGATGAGTGACTTACTGCAGAATTCCCAGCGTCTGACCTGCTATTGTGGCCATATTATTTATATTACCAACTGTAATTTCTAAATTCAAATTTATTGGGTATGTGATGAGAAGGCATTGCTGTGCCACCGTTCCCTGGGAATCAGGACTAAAGCAAAATCATAATCTTGCCAAGTTGAGATATCTGTTTTGAAGGAGATCTGTGGAGATACCTGTATGGTGCATGCCAATCCATTTAGTAGCGTCAGAAATATATTTTTTCTGAGCAGTTTTGAAGTAGGATTTGTTATACAACTCCTTGTCTTTACCATTTGTGACATAGATTACGGCAGTTATGTTAGAGCTATACAGGACTTTGTGGTAGCATGTGCAATTCTGGTCACCGCCCTACAGGAAAGAGGTGTTGCATTTGGGGCGGTGCAGAGGATATTCACCATGATGTTGTCAGGGATGGAGCACTTTAGCTCTGAAGAGAAGCTAGATGAGCTTAGATTGTTTTCTTTGGAGCAGCAAAGGTTGATGGTGGGGACCTGATTGAGGCGTATCAGATTATGAGGGGCATGGACAGGCAGAAAAGAAAGCAGCTGTTCCCCTTTGTCATTAGGTCAGTAACAAAAGAGACATAATTTTAAGGTGAAAGGCAGGAGGTTTAGGATTTGAAGAAAAATCATTTCACCCGGAGAGTGCTCTGGGTCTGGAATGCACGACATGGGAGGATGGTTGAGGCGTGATACCTCATAACCTTTTTAAAAAAAACTTCAATGAGCACTTGAAATTACATAACGTTCAAAGCCTCGTGTGGAAAAGTGGGACCAGTGTAGATTTAGTGTAGCTTTGGCAATACAGACACAATGGGTTAAAGGGCCTCTTCTGTATTGTGTGATTCTAAGGTATGTAATATCAATTCTGCAAATGTGTGCAATGTATTTTGCTTCTGTTTATTGAATAATTACACCTTTAGCAAATAGTCATAGAATCATCTGTATTATTCCTGAATTTAAATATGAGTAACTAATTTTGTGATTTCCATTTATCAGCAGTAACAATGTAACTCTTGTGAAAAACCCCAAGATTATGGCTAGCTTTTACCTCCTCCTGTTTGGATTCACTCTGCTGTTTCTGGCAAAACAGGTAAAAATAATTGCATTGCTGAAATATTTACCTTTTGTCTGCAATTATATCAATAGGAGGCAAAAACAGTTTGTCTTGGTTTTGCAGAATGAATATTATTGTAGGCTAGACTTCCTATGGAAGAATAAATTTAAAAAAGAAAGGGAAGAAATCGAGACAATGGAGAATCTGAATCGACTTTTATTGGAAAATGTACTGCCAGGGCATGTCGCTGAACACTTCATTGGCGAAAATAAAAAGAATGAGGTATGGATTTCTCACACCCATCAATATTTGCCAATATCAGATAAATTGCTGCCCAACCAGTCTTTTATAGCTAGCAGTATCGCATGAAGGTCAAAATGATTGATGCATTATGTGGGGGAGTATTTATTTGTTGGCAGTTGTACATTTTGTTGCAAAACCATCAAAATGCAAAATCATCGTCCAGCCAAGGGTTAGTTATTCCTGGAGCGAGAACAGTTTTTCCATTGATAGCCAGTAGCATATTATTCTTTCACTCGGTTTGATTTCTCTGACTGAAATAGCATCTGTTTCTATAAAGATAATAGTATTGTATCCAACAAGATAGTGTAAGCACTCACATCAAAGTGGTATTACTGTGCGAATGAAGAATGCAGATTCCATCTGACATGTTAACCTAATATTCTGAAGCAGACATTAACTGGCATACCTTGTATTTCCAGCATTCAGTACTGAGTTTCAATTTTACAATATTTTAGTTAACATCTACTGCTTTGCAAGTGGTGAATGTGGACAGCACAGAATTGGGAGGATGGGCATCCATAATACCATAAGAAATAGGTGCAGGAATAGGCCATTTGAACCATTGACCTTGCCGTACCTTTCAATACAATCATGACTGATCTGATTGTGGCTTTGACTCTACTTTGCTGCCTGTCTCTTCGTAACCCTTGACTCTGTTGTTGATCAAAAATTTAACTCAGCCTTGAGCATATTCAATGACCCAACATGCACTACTCTCTATTGAAGAGAATTCCAAAGACTAACATAACCCTCTGAGAGAACAAAATCCTCCTCATCTCCATCTCAAGTTCAAGACTCTTTATTTGTAAACTGTGGCCTCTACTTCTAGAATCCTTCGTGAGAGAAAACATCCTTCTTGCATCTACTCTCTCGAGTTTCTTCAGAGTCTTATAATTCAGTAGGATCATTTCATTCTTATAAAATCCAATGAGTATAGATCCAACCTACTCAACCAGTTCTTCACCAGACAACCCCTTCACTCCAGGAAATGGTCTCATGCATCTTACCTGCACAGTTTCCAATGCAAACATACCCCTCCTTAAGAAAAGAGACTAAACTATATACAATGGTATTACGAATACTGTGTAACACTTGATACAAGAATTCTGTGCTTTTATACTCTAACCCCTTTGCAATAAAGGCCAGTATTCCATTTGCCTTCCTGCTTACTTGCTGTACCTGCCTTCTGATATTTTATGATGTACAAGGACACCCAGATTCGTCTGTATTGCGGCATTCTACATTCTTTCTATATTTAAATAACATGTTTCTATTCTTCCTGTTAAAGTAAATAATCTTGCATTTTCCTGCATTTTTACTCCATCTGCCAAATGTTTGACCACTCATTTAATCTATCAATATCTACAAACCTCTGTGTCCTCCTTATAACTTGTTTTCTGACCAAATTTGACTAAATATAGTTGTTCCCTTCATCCAAATTATGAATATAGTTTGTTTGTAGTTGAAACCCCAGCACCGATCCCCTCCGCACTCTACTGGTTACAGTTTGCCAACCTGAAAATGACCCAGTTATCCCAACCCCTTCTCTTTTAATTAATTCAGTCAACCAATTTTGTATCCATGCCAGTATAGCATCCCTTATACCATGAACCTTTTGTGCAGCAACCCTTTATATGGCATCTTATCAAATGTCTTTTGGAAATTCAAATACATTGCAATTACAGATTCCCTTTAATCCATCCTGCTTACTATATCCTCAAAGAACTCTAATAAATTAGCCAATCATATTTTTACTTTCACAAAATCACATTGACTGTGCCTGATTGTAAGAGAGTTTTTGAGATGTCCTGATACTACCCCTTAACGATAGATTCTGGTATCTTTTCAATGCCAGTTGTTATTGTTTGTAGTTGTTTCTATTGACCTATAGCTTCCTGCTGTTTTCTTCCTCCTTTCATGAATAGCAGTGTTGTATTGTAGCTTTTCAATTCACTGGGAACTTTCAGAATGTAGGGTATTTTTGAATGTTATGATTCCTGCTGATACTGTCGCTGGCTGTATCAGATCTCAGACTGAAATCTGGATTGATGTGGTTTTTTTAAAAGCTTAATTAACGTGGCCTTTCACTGAAACAGAAGCACACAATGTTGTAGATTTGTTTTTAACAATACAACAGAAGTTTATTATGCAAATGAAGTGACTATAAATAGAACAAAACAAGTTATTACATGTATCACAATTTGAAAGTTTTCAAAGTACATGATTAAAAGTACAATCTCATTTATTCCCAACAACTTTGAATATTGTAACGTAAATACCTGACACAATTACCTTTCTGTTACATTAATTTTGACTTAACTATTCTTTCAATCCCTGCTTTTGGAGTTTGATAGCCTTTTTCCTTGAGTAGTCATACAACTGAACTGAAACTTTCTACGCTTCAAGTAATCCATTCAGTTTCTAACCAAAAACCTGTGGTCTGGAATTTTAAAATAAAACCCTTACTGAAGTAATTGTTGTGTAACTGTAACTCTTTTCTCAAGGAGAAGCTGTTCTTATATCTGACCTCAGCTAGATCTTTTGCTAGCTGAAATCCAAAGGCTTTCCAGGCTATAGGTTTTTGCCCTAAACAAAACAAAAACTAATCCTTGATTTTTCTAAACCAAAGCAAGCTCTTTTTTTTTCAATGTTTACTCTCTTCAATTGTAAAACTGTCACAATGTGAAGAAATTCCCATTGTCGCTCCAGGAGCTGCACTCTCTCACATTCTGGTTTAAAAATTAGGGCTTCAGAAAGACTGACTTCAGTAAAACTTAAGAAAGTTAATTATAAAGTTCAACTCCTCTAGATAGACTAAAACCCAAATTGCACACCTTGCATCATATGAAGATTAGAACCAATGCATCCAGTATCTCTGCAAGAACTTCCTTTAAAACTCTAGGATGCAGGCAATTTGAATTACCGGCTTTTAGATACATTAGTTTTTCTAATAAGTTTTCTCCAGTGATTATGATTAAACAAGATCTTCCCTCAATTTTGCTTCTTGAGTTTCAGTAGTATTTGTGATATTTTGTGTCTTCTACCGTGAAAGTAGATGTGAACAACATGTTGGAAAACTCTTCACTCTCCCTGTTGCCTGTTAATAATTTACCAGTCTCGCCCTATAAGGGACCAATGCTTATTTTAGGGAGTGTGTTCCTTTTATATGCTTGCAGAAGCTTTTACTGTTCGTTGTTACATTTATTGCTAACTTTCTGTCAAATTCCAATTTTTTACTCTTTGTTAGACTTTTAGCCACCTTTTGCTGGTTTTCGAACATTCTGGGCCACCGGTTAGCTTTGCAGAATTATGAATCTTTTCTTTAAAATGGTGTTAAACTTAACCTGCTTAGTTAAACACAGTTGTTTAGCCCCTCATATCTGTGTACGTCAACCTGTGATGTCAAGGTTACCAGCTCCGTAATGCCCTCTGTGTTCCAGACAACCCCCTCCCCCCTGTATGGGAACATGGTGTCAAGAAGAAACAGTGAAAATGCAGCGAAGTTCATTGAGATTGCAGAGCAAAAAAGTAGTGGTAGAGCAGCTAGAGAATTCAAGATATCGAAGAAGTATGTTAGAGATTGGAGGAAGCTCTCTACACAGTCTGGGAAGATGCTTAAGAGTAAATGTGCAAACAGAGGGCAGTTTTGCATTTGGTAGTGGTTGGAAAGTTAATTTGCAAAATATGTCAATGAAAATTGTCAGAAAAGATGCACAGCTTATCGCAGCTCTAACTGAAACTTCACCCTGAAGTGAGCAAGTAAGTTAGGCGTTGCAGGTTCCAAAGCCAGCCCTGAATATTACACCAGGTTTATGAAGTGAAACAATTTTGTACTGTGACCAGACGTCATCATTTCACAGCATCTTCCATCGGAACTTGATGACAGGCTTATCGCATTTCAGCAGCTTATAAAGTACAGAAAGAACAAGGTACAAGTTGGCCCATATTGGGACCATCAGTGGGAGTCGTATGAATTTTGACATGCCAGCTAGTTAGTTGGAGAAAAAAAAAGTGTTGGTGAAGAGAACGGGCCATGAAAATATCAAAGGTAAACGTCGGTTGTAAAGAAGAGAATTCATGAATAAGGCCACCGGTTCTGGGACCCCGCAGGTCGTAAAACTCTATTGGCAATATAAATTGTTTACGTTGGTTATAGAATTAGAGCTGTGTTGAGAGTAAAATAACTTATTAAGATTTATATTTGGACCAAAGTATACCATGTTCCGTAGAGATGGTGGTGCATTGTTTAAAATATTCTTTAATGTTATTTATCTGTCTGTGCTAAGAGAAGCAGGCTTTAGTTTGGGGAATAGGTTAAAGTAGTGTAGCTTTGTTTTAGTGTAGGCTGCATCTCACCAGATTGAGAACAGACAGGAGATGATTTGATTTGATTTATTGTAGTCATATATACCTAAATACAGTGAAAAGCTCTGTGTTGCAAGCAGTGCAGGCAGATCATTAGCAAGCAAGGACATAAAGATCATAGATGCTTAGACAGAGCAAGGCATACAGTTTATGCTGCACAGGAGGTGCGCAAAGCAGCATCAACATTAGCAAGATCGACATTAGTTCTGACGAAGGGGCTGCGCTCCGAAAGCTTATGTGATTCCAAATAAACCTGTTGGACTATAACCTGGTGTTGTGTGACTTCTAACATTATTTGAAGTTAGAGAATCCATTCATCAGTCTAATAATGGCAGGGAAGAAGCAGTTCTCAGACCGGCACTTCAAACCGAGAAATACTATCTTCTTCATTCACTATATAGAATGTAGATGGTCCCAGTCTGGGTTTGTATTTCTTCATGGAGAAGCAGCCAGGCTTGCATGTAGTGGAAGAACTGTGCAGTGGTCCTCAGTCGGCAAAGTTGGTTTGACTAACTGGAGAAAGGCAGTTGGGTGACTGATGGCAACCCGATCAAAGGAATTTGGCAATCACAGTCACCAATGTCTGCAAAGAAAAATTAGAGGCTCATATTGACATTAAAAAAAAGCCAATGGGGAAGGACCCTTGTTGACTCTAGATTTCTGTGGAAAATTCAGATGAATTCTGAAGGCTGTGGCATACCTTTAGGTTGGTCCCAGGAAAAGTGAATGAACCATTAAAATTTTGTAACATAAGCCAACACTTAGGAGGAAGTAAAAAGGAGAACTGAGTTTATAGCACAAGTTTTCCTAAACTATAACATTAAGTTAGTGAGACTTGTTTAATTTCTCTTTATATCCAATCAAGTTTGCTTTTGTTTAAAGTGTGTAATCTTGTGGTGTGGTTCTGGTGGATAATTGCCAGGTGTTCAGATTTCTTCTTTAAACATTGCTGGTTCCTTACAGGATCACAGTGCCCTGGACAGATGAAAGGAAATTTATTTTATTTGTATGGTTTTTGTGATGGAGATGTTGCCAAGTAGAGCGTACCACTTAAAGTAAAGATTTGCTTATTATTGGTGACTATCCTGGTGCTTGAGTAAACTGATGCAATGTTTGGATCTCCAGTTGAAGAATGACACTTGAATGCATGAACTGAATCTCATGCTGCTACAACTCAGCATGAATTCATGGGAAAAGAGGGAGAAAGAGAGGAAACCAGGGAAAAATAACATTCTAAATTGCAGTCTACAGACCTGTAACTCCTAAACATTCTCTAAATATGTTTAATGTTGATTTGTGGAAACTTTTTTTGTGTAGGATTTGTACCATCAATCTTACGACTGTGTGTGTATCATGTTTGCATCAATTCCTGATTTCAAAGAATTTTACACAGAATGCGATGTAAACAAAGAGGGACTTGAGTGCCTGAGATTGTTAAATGAAATCATAGCAGACTTTGATGAGGTAAGTGATTTTAGAAAGATTGTTATTGTAGTTCATACATTTTGACTACATTATGGGGACAACATGTTTGTAAATATGCAACATTTCTTTTGCAGCTTTTGTCAAAGCCAAAATTTAGTGGTGTTGAAAAGATAAAAACTATTGGAAGCACCTACATGGCTGCTGCTGGTCTTAGCATTGGCCAAGAAAATAAGCAGGTAAGTTCGCGTAGCTTTGACATCACGTACATAGCTTTTCTTTCTCTTGAAACTCTACAACAAATGTAAACAATTTGGTTTCATTTATAAATTACTTGGTGATTTGGTTTTTTTTTTAAAATCCATCATTATGCTTGGGGGACAAAACCACTGATTTATTGAGACTTAAAGAATTTGTTTTTTTGCACCAATTTTTAACTTAACAAAATGCTAATGAGTTATTAAATTTGTTCCAGTGCTTTAAAAGAACTGTGAACAGTTTATTGAGCTACAGCTCAGCTTTCACTACCTAATCAGCTCGATCTGAATTTTGATTAGGCTTGTCATTGGAATTACGAATACAACAGACAGTAACAGTAACTGGCCAGTATAATTTGCCTCGAGGAAATTTTATTTTGTGTCCTTGTTTATTTGTGTCCATTTAACACATTTTGTTTACATCACTTGTCCTTCAGAAAAAAATTAATGTTATGATCCTTCATTCTTTTGAAGGGTTATTTTTATGTTAATTTATAGTTCAACAAACAAAGATGCCTAGTTTGTTCTCATAACAAAGTATTTCAAATGCAGATTGTGCCTAAGCACCTTTTATATTTTTCAAACAATGTATGCTAAGTGTTTTTTTACATCTACTTTGTTTAGAATATCCTTTAAGTGAGGTAACCTCAATATAAACACTGAGTCACATACTTGCAGAGTTGAGGAAACTCTGTGGACCTTTAAAAATGGGAGAAGGGGCTGAGTCGCAGAAGTTCCACTCCCACTGGCAGTAGCAAAAAGGGGGAAGGATGTGAAGTGCACAGACGTGATTTATGAATCAGCTGGTCTAGCAATGTTCACTGCACAGATGAACAGATCCAATTTTCATTCAACCTCAACCTGCAATATCTATTCCACTCCTTTATTGGTACAGTTATTAGTCCTCATGAAGGATGGATGGTATATGTAGAGCTGAAAAACTATTGAGTTATTTAAATTCTCTGTCGCTTAAGTTTTGAGAAGGAAGTTGTCCTCTAGAGCTGATAGGCTGGTACCTCCAAAATAACAGCAGTGCCAGAGATCAGTTTGGCAGAGATATTACTTCCTACACTATGATCTTTTATCTTCTGCAGTAATCGTTGATGTGGCACCATATCAAATGTCATCCAGAAATCTAAATACATCCACTGGCTCCCCTTTATCTGCAGCACAGATTACTTCTTCAAAGAACTTCAATTAGTTAAACATGATTTCCCTTTGACAAAACCATGCCTGATTTCCTTGATCTTATACCAGTGCCCTGTTATGATGTCTAGCTTCTAGCATTTTCCCAGTGACAGAAGTTAAGCTAATTGGCCTGTAGTTTCCTGCTTTGTGCCTCCCTCCCTTTTTGAATAAATAAGTTACAAGAAATGTTTTACAATCTAAAGGAACCTTCGCTGAATCTGCGTTTTAGAACATTAAAAACAATGTGTCAACTATTTCACTGGCCAGTTCTTTCATGACCCGAGGATGAAATCCATCAGGACGTGGGGAATTTGTCAACTCATGATTCCAACAATTGAGTACTCTAACAATACTAGAGCCATAGGTTTAAGGTGAGAGGGGAAAAGATTTCAAAGTGACATGAGGGGCAACTTATTCACACAGGGTGGTGCATATATGAAACGAGCTGCCAGAGGAAGTGGTAGAGGCAGGTACAATTACAACATTTAAAAGACTTTTGGACAGGTACGTGGATAGTAAATGTTTAAAGGGAGATGGGCCAAATGCAGACAAATGAGACTGGAAAGGAAACCTGGTCAGCACGGATGAGTTGGGCTGAAGGGCCTGTTTACGTGCTGTATACCTCTATGACTCTAATTTACCCTCTATTATTGATTGCAATATGTGATACAGGGATGAGTTGGGGGAGGGGGTGGGGTGTCATTTTATTTATTCATTGGGCTTTTTAAAATTCATTGGATAAGGGCCTCGCTGGCTACAGCAGCATTTATTGCCCATTCCTAATTGCCCAGAGGGCAGTTAAGAGTCAACCAAATGTATGCCGGACCAGGTAAGGATGGCAGAGGGCATTAGTGAACCAGGTGGGTTTTTTCAACAATGGATTCACGGTCATCATCAGACTCTTAATTAAAGATTTTGATTGAATTCAAATTTCACCATTGAATTCGAATGCATTAATTTGTAATTGGAACCATATAGATCCATTGGTGGTGAGTGGAGTGGCGTAGGAAAAAAGGATGGGATAACAAGCCTTTATAACAATATATCTGAGACAAATCTCAGAGAACTGGGCCTTTAATCAGCCTTTGTAAGCATTTGAAAGCTTCTGTAGCAATCTGTCCAGAAGTGATGGGCCTGACTCCATCCCACTCCCACCTCTAAGCCCTAGAATGAACTCTACACCATTCAGGTGATCTGCTTCTACGATTAAAATACAGACCTATCAAGTTACTCAAAATTACTTCAATGCCAATTGTTCACAGAAAAAGAAAGAACTGTTAGGAATTTAAATGAAATCTAAAAATGTCATTGTTGATCAGTACCTGTTGTTTCAAGACAACTGAAGAGCTTGATGTACATTCATAGCATTTTCTGTCTGTATTTCTATTTGTCATTTTCAGTCTCAATTCAGAATACGTTAACTTTCTTGACTTGATGAATCCTGAATGCAGAAACTAAGATATGCAGACCCTATTGATTCCATAAGAAATATTTTGTCTAAACATTTTAGGTAGATATTTTATATTTGCATTCAATGCTGGCAACCCGTGCTAGCTCTTGGTCCAGTAATTTGAAATGTGACCTTCATTACAAGTATTTCCTATCTCTGAGCTATGATGTTCTACAGTTGAATTTTAACTTATTATTTTTGCGTATAGTGCATTTGATTTAAATTTGCGTTTGTTTTATTGCTGTGTCAGGATAGTGAAAAGCCTTGTACTCACATTGGCATCATGGTGGAATTTGCCACTGCATTAATGAGTAAATTGGATGGCATCAACAGACATTCTTTCAACAATTTTAAACTGCGGGTTGGTAAGTTAGATTCTGTAATTCTGCCAGAATTACAAACTCTTACTTAGCTGCACTTATTAAAGTAAATATGTTTGGTCACAGAAAGACTTGCAAGCTGCTCTCTTTACAGAGTTGGTGTAAACAAAAGCTGATGTTTGGGACTGACAAAATAAACATACATTGTTTTCCAAAATTAAAATAATTTAAAGTGTAATTCAACTGCTTATTCCCCATTGTGGAAATTTGAAAGTCTTGGGAGAACTATACGATTATCATACAATCCCGACAATGTGGAAGCAGGCCAGCTGGCCCATCGAGTCCACATCGACCCTCCAGACAGCATCACACTAGACCCAAGCCCCTACCCTATCCCTGTAACCCTTCATTTTCTATGGCAAATCCACCTAGCTGCACATCTTTGGACTGTGGGAGGAAACCGGAGTACCCAGAGGAAAGCCATGCATACATGGGGAGAACGTTTAAACTCTGTACAGTCACCCGAGGGTGAGATTGAACCTGGGTCCCTGGTGCTGTGAGGCAGCAGTGCTAACCACTGAGCCATCGTGCTGCCCCATTATAATCCATTGTCCACAATAATTACCCAGATTTTAAAACTGTTTCCTAAGCTATAAATAATCTTCTTACAATCTGATTTTATATTGGCATCTGTATGTCTTTGTTGTTTACTTAGTATCCATTTTTGCTCTCTGCAGGCATAAACCATGGACCTGTGATTGCTGGTGTCATTGGAGCCCAGAAGCCACAGTATGACATATGGGGGAATGCAGTTAACGTTGCTAGCAGAATGGAAAGCACTGGTGAACTTGGAAAAATCCAGGTAAAAATGTCTTGGTTTCCTTTTAAGATTTTTTTTAATATTTAGAGCATTGTGTAAAATTTAAAAGCTGTTTGGGTGTCAACTAGAATAACGTAACTTGCCCCAAAACAAATGAAGTCTTTGAATTATTTCTCTATGTTTGGAATATAATCAATGTTAAATTTGCATTAATGATTAAATCATTGACCTAGAATTTGACGTTTGCTCAGCTCATTGTTTGAAATATATAAAATTCATTTCGGAAGTTTTAGGCTGTATTTTGTGAGTGGGACCACTACAACCACTGGCAGTAAACTTGGGCAAGCCTACCTCTGCCATTCCTGCAAATAAAAAAACCAAATGATTTTCTATTTTGTATAATCTGATTGATTAGTGTATTAATTTTCTTATGTAATTTATGATTTTAGGTCACAGAAGAAACCTGCAATGTTTTGCGACAACTAGGATATTCTTGTGAATCTCGAGGACTTATCAGTGTGAAAGGCAAAGGTGACCTACAGACTTACTTTTTGTGCACAGATGTTACAAAGTCGCACTAAATACTAAACAAACAATTTATGCAGTTACAAAGCAGCCACATAAAGAATATTTCCAGTATAGTTACAAGATTGTTTGCCGATACATGGTTGGCGTAATACAAAATAAAGTAGCGGTAAAAAGTTACAATTTTCAAGAAAGAAACTGGGATTGTGATAGTGAATTTTATTTAAAAGTAAGTTGTTTATGGCTGCACCGTTGTGAAATACATGCTGTTACTATTTGATGAAAAGAAACATTCTCATGTGCCCTGCATCATAACTTATAGTACAAGGATTAAACTATGAAATTACAAAAAGTACCATTCAAATTTTACATATGTTGTAGCAGTAGTTCTTTTTAATGTTTATGTTTTGAGTTTGAATATAATTTCACTATAGCTTATAGAGATAGCTAGTCTGTAGTGTCATTAGTAATGAGAAAATATTTGTATACTTTTTGGATTTTGAACTGAACAAATGCATTGTCAACAGGATTGTACCTGACTGATTAGCACATTTGTTATTTCACAAAAATCTACTCATTTGTGTTCAGAGTAGTTTTAAGAATGTTTACTGCTGCAAACAGTGCTGTCTAGTGGTTATTACAAAATTCAATACTGTCCTTATCTGTATTTATTCCTCAAACCTTGTTTACCAATGACTATGGTGCTAGCTATAGCACTAAAAGTCACCACAGATTTGGTTAACTCATGCACCAAATTTTCATTACTTTGCTGTGCCATAAATTTACATCATGTTTTAAAGGAAAACGTTTCCCGATGTTTACAAATGACAAGCTATACCAGTGACTCTCAATTGACTCTTCTTGTTAGTGCAGTGTTGCTCTCTCACTTAATTACTATGTAATTTCTTTACCAACATCGGTACCTGAAATCGTTTCATGACTGAAACAATATTTTCGATTTTAATAATGTGATCTTTTTCTGCAGAGTTGATGTCCTCTTTTTTAATGTAGTTATTCAACTTAAGAGTCATGGGTTTTAAATATGCTATTTATGCATGATTCCAAATTACTGTACAATCCACTGGCTGCAGGTACAAAAATATATCTGACCTTATCATGGCAGTCAACAAGTCTGGTACAATCTACTTTTGTGGCTGAGATATGGATTTGTTTTTTTTTAAACTTGTTGAGGAAGAGCTTTAAACTGATAAGCACTTATTGTGTAAATTTATAGATTTTTGCCAAGTATCTTTAACTTGTGATTTAGTATTCCATATTTTAACACCGCCTTATGTCCAACTTTATGTGACCTAAACAGAAATCTCAGCTGATATTGTAGTTGATGAGTTGAGAATTTTTAAAAAAAGCAAAATATGCACTCTCTATTTTGGGATAGAGAATAATACTTTTCCACAATTGGCATGAAAAAGGGAAAACCTTCATTTAAGTTATGCCATATTATAGGTTGCTTAGAGCTGACGAAATGTACATTTCTGAATGCTAGTGAAGTAATGTAACAAAAAACGTTTTCTTTCTCACAACCTTGAAGCAAATAGGCTATATAATAAATTATTTCTAACAGTACAAATTCTCCAAGTTATTTGTGTCTTGCAGTAATTTAACTTTCTTTTCTCTGTATCAATTATTCTACTCTTTAAATAGAATTCAGAACACAATGATGTGATGGTGACTTTAACACAGTAAATAAGACTTTGCAGGAGAAATATCAAATGAGATTTGACGGCAAGCTGCAAAGAAAAAATGGATTTTAAGGACCATCTTGAGGAAAGGATTTACAAGGTTGCTATGTCTCTGCCAGCAACTTTGATACATTTTAATTGATTGATGGGATATGGGTGTGACTGGTTAGGCCACCATTTATCACCTAGCTGCTGTTAGGCAAGTGGTGAGGAGCCTCCTTCTTGAATTGCTGTAATCCACCTGATGGAGGTAGGTGCAAAGAGCTGTTAAGGATTTTGACCTTTGTTGCATCTCCTACTAACTTATCATGTGACACATCCCTCTCCCCTCTCCCTGTAAATGAAATACTGCTTTTCTACAGTAGACAAGCTCACGTTTTCCCATGTTTGCTAAATTTCTATCCAATTGTTTAACCCATCTCTCTATCCTTGTGGACTCCATGGTTTTTTAAAATTTTGGTTATTTTCTCTGCAAATGCTCAGTTCTAAAGGATTATCTGCTCATTGGCAAACTCATGCAAGATAATAAATACAATATAACCCAGTGTTTAAAAAATTCCCACATTTATTATACACACTTTACAGTATAAAATTTCATATAAAATTGTTTGCCACTGTTGATTGATTATATTGTTTCAGATGAGACATTTTTCCAACTCAATAATCTACGTTTTCATGTAACAATCGCAACTGGATCCTCACTGATGCTAATGACTGGTTCAAGCTCTGGCAATTCTGTAGTTTCCATGTCCTCCACTAGGTTGCTGCTCCTGGCACCTGTCATTGTTAGGAATGAAGTATTTGCTTGAAAAGAAAGCACAAACATTGATTGAGAGTTAGGAGACAAGTTGAAATTACCCTGAGGCTGATCAAGTGCTTGGACACCAAAGTTTGAATTCTGGGTTGATCACCAGCAGGATACTTGTGGGCACCTCACTCCCACCACAGTGCACCCCCTCTAAGCCCCTCTCTCCCATGTCCCTCATACCGCTTGCACAAACAGATACAATCTCTCCCGTTCTACAGGAGAAGCCCTTTTTTTTCTTTCATTCATTAGATGAGAGCGTCACTTGTTATCTAGACCAGGTAAAGATGGCAGTTCCCTTATGTAAAAGGGCATTAGTGAATTAAGTGGGGTTTTTCCTGAAAATCAACAATGGATTCATGGTCATCATCAGACTCTTAATTCCAGATTTTTATTGATTTTGAATCACACCCAAGTCCCCAGAACATGACCTGTGTCTCTGGATTAACAATCCAGCGATAGTACCATTGGCCATTGCCTCCCCACTATGATGATGTAAAGATAGTTACCTCCATAGATGGGACCCTGTCTTTGTGGCTATGAGTCTGTGTATCATTCTAATATTTCACTGGTTTATTCAAGGAAAGTGTGTGAAGACACAAAAACATTTTAATCTAGTTTTCTACAGTGAAGAACAAGCAAAGGCAATCTTTTAATATGGGAAGTTACCTTCATAAATTAGATAACATTTAATTAAATTTGCTATTTAAGATGGCAGTGCGTTCAAGATAGAATTCAGTTTATTATATTTTTAAAGTGGATTTGATTACCAATGAGCTTTCTACTACAGTATTGGTTAGTGGTGAGGCTCAGACTGAATTCTTGTACAACCTCCCAAAAAATGAACCTGAATGCTGGGCAATGACATAAACAGGAATTATGATACAATAAGCAATTTGACCAAGGTAGGTAAGTTGAGCAGAACGCCAAGGCAAAAAGGACTTCAGCAACCACCGAATCAGATGTACTGCTGGGGCTGCATTTGGAATATGGAGCAGTTTTGGGCTCAGTACCTAAGGAAGGATGTGCTGGCATTGGTGGGGGTCCAGAAGAGGATTACATGAATAATCCCAGGCTTGTCATACAAGGAGGTTGTGGACACAGGAGGTGTTTCCACTTGTGGGAGAGACCAGGACCCAAGGGCACAACTTCAGAATGAAGGAACAGCCCTTTAGAATTGTGATTAGCTGAAGAAATTCCTACTCGAGTGGTAAATCTGTGGCACTCCTTGCTACAGAACGGTGCATTTATGACTGAAATATAGATAGGTTCTCGATTAGTAAGAGGTTGAGAAACATATCAGCCCTGATCGAATGGCAGAGTAGACTCGATGGACTGAATGGCCTAATTCTGCCCCTGTATTGAAGCACGGAGCAGGATATTCAGTAAAGTGGGGAAGCAGAAGTATAATAGGATATTCCCATGAAAAAAAAATTGAGCACAAGTCTTTGAGAACCAGGTGACAAAAGCAAGATCTAGAATACTCGAGGTGGGGAAAAGTAGGAATAACCACATGATTTTAAAAAAAAATCTCTGCACCAAATAATGTGGGAACACTTCCAGAAGAAGGCAGGATTGTTTGCACATTCTCTTAACACTGCAGTTGTAGTTACACCCGAGGTTTCAATCTCTGATATTATAAAGCAAGTTTTAAAATATTATCACTTAATTCTTCCCATTACTTACCAGACAACGATTCTGGTGAGCAACTCTCCATCATTTCCAAGGGTACTGTAATTCCCATAGCCTTGCGAATGCCAACAACACTAGTGATGTCTCCAGGAGCTACTTGGCTTGCCAATTCTTTCAAGTTTCCAGTTACCCTTTCAGCTGAATAAACAGATTTGAAAATGCTATTAATGATTACAGCAGGTCAGAAAGATATTGGCTGGATGACTTGCACAACATTAGCACAGTGAGTGAACTACTGCACTAATGTGCAAATTAAGTGGGTAGTGATACACAGTACATTATCTCAAGTCTTGCAAGATCCACATTCAAATGTCAACTTACTTTCCGCCTGAAATCCTTTTTCATGCTATCACAGATTGAGGACTTTGAGGTTTACTGACATTTTACTTCAGTTGAGTCTCATAATAAGCAAGACTAAAAGTATTCAAGGTTAATCATTTACATCATCAACCTTTCCATGTTTAATAATGCTGAAAACAATGTTCTAGGCAAGAATTTTAACATTAATCTTCAGGCTGGCAAATAGTTCAGACCATTCACATTTCTTCAATATTAATTACTGTTATCTATTTCACTTTAAAACAGTTAACACATGTTTAATATGTTTTGATAACACAATTTAGGCTTTGAAATGCAAGACCTGTTCAAGTTGTCAATGTTTTGTTTGGAACATTCAATACTGGTGTTGGCAAAATCAATGTCAGGCTTAAGTTACCTAAAATAATTGGACAACCCATCAATGGATAAAATTAATATCTGAAAAACCCTGCAACGTTAATGTTATAAACTCAAATTTAGAACAATCAAGACCAAGGTAATTAAAGCAGGAAATATGGGAAGAAACAGACGTCAGGAAATTCTTGATTTAACAGTGAAAAGAACTGTTTAGTAGGTGCAGTAAAACCTTCCCTTAGCTAAAGCTTTGTTTGTGTAATGGTCATAAAAGATATTTAATGTACCAATTAGCAACTCTTGAATGGAAGGTCCAAATAGGCAGAGCATGGCAGATGGGGGTCTGGTACTGAAACGCTCATTCTGTGCTTGCTGTAGATCTTGTAGTAACTTGGTGGTTTCATCCAGCTTCTTCTGAAACATTCCAGACTCTGCAAACCAATAAGACAATTTATCCAAGGATTTACAAAAATTTATAAGTTTTTATGTTGCCAGACTTGCAGCATTGTCCTTATACTTAGTTCTTGTAGCATGACAAAAAATGATTTAAATTGTGTGCGCATGTCAGCTGCATCGCTGCTGGTTGCACTTCAAGCAGAGTAGCACATCCCACACCAGATGCTCCACTACAAAACTGGGGGAGTGGCAGAAGTGCCAACTGCCATCTATCAGAAATTAAACAGAGTGGACCTGCTTAGATTTTTGTATTAGCTTCATAGTGGGGGGTGGTAGGTATGTGTAACTTGTAATGAGCACTGCATGAGTGTTTGGCTATTAAAGTTATCACATTTATGAAAGAAAGGCAGTAGGTAATAAAGAGAAATTAATTCAATGCTGGGCAGCAGATCAAAGTAACAGGTGCGAAAGGAAATGAGCCAGATGTGGCTGCTAATCTTGCAGCAGTTAAAACTGCTTCCTTTTCAAAAAGGTGAACAAAACTGTCTCCTCCACATTACGCCAGGATTTGTGTTCATCTAAAACAGAGCATATTAAAAAGGGGCAGCACTGCTGTTTCACAGCACCAGGGACCCGGGTTCGATTCCACCCTCAGGCGACTGTCTGTGTGGAGTTTGCACATTCTCCCCGTGTCTGTGTGGGTTTTCTCTGGGTGCTCCGGTTTCCTCCCAAAGATGTGCAGGCTAGGGGGACTGGCCATGCTAAATTGCCAGTAGTGTTCAGGGATGTGTAGATTAGGGGCAGTATAAGGGGATGGGTTCTGAGTGGGATGCTGAGAGGGTTGGTGTGGACTTGAAGGGCCTGTTTCCACACTGTAGGGATTCTATTATCAAAAAAAAATCAAACAGAGACTGGAGATCTGTGACTTGTGGTGTGCCACAAGGATCAGTGCTGTGTCCACTGCTTTTCATCATTTATATAAATGATGAAATATACAAGGTATGGTTAGTAAGTTTGCAGATGACACCAAACTAGAACAATGAAGATTATGTCAGAGTACAACAGGACCTTGGGAGAAGATTTGTGTATAGTATAAGCACCTCTTACATACCTTCTGATTCAGGCTCCCCATTTATTACTGATTGTAGAGAAGCAAAACTGTCACTGATACAGCCAAAGGCTGACTCCAGTGGTTGCCGAGGGGACTCAGCAGGAGCACTCTAGAACGAAGAAAGGGCAGTGTGACTCAAAAGGAAACCTTTTATTTTTAACAAGGAGTCAGTTGTGCATTATATATTACAAGTGACAATAGTTAAACCTGCACTAGTTTA